TCTATCTATCTATCTATCTATCTATCTATCTATCTATCTATCTATCTTTCTATCTATCTATCTATCTATCTATCTATCTATCTATCTATCTATCTATCTATCTATCTATCTATCTATCTATCTATCTATCTATCTATCTATCTATCTGATCAACAGTTCTTTTTGTTATATTATAAGCAAATATACGTGATCCTTTGTATAAGGAAAAATTATTTATTTTTATTTAGGGTGTATTGATATTCAGTGGCTAAATATTTATGATTTTGATGAAAATCCTATTGAGTCCGAAAGTCTGCATGGCTTTATTACAGGTGCTTCTAGCAAAATGCAAAATGTGTGTGCACACACTCAACAGTGCTCGCAAATCTATTTCGTATCAGATATCTGTGACATAAGAAAATAAGTAAAAAAGAAAACGAATCTCTGACCTATTAATTATGATTTGCAATTTCTGATGTAGAAGTTCTGTCATTTAAACCCCCCCAAAAAACAATTAAACACGGCATGACAGTTCCCACACATTATACATAAGCTGAAAAAGGGAGCAGAGGAGACATGGAAGGGGGAATCATAGCCACATTGTTTATTGTGTCTCTAACCTGACCTTCTCCACAATGGCTGCTCTCCGCTGATTCATGCAAAGCTGTAGATCTGATGAGTGTTCACTTCTGGGTCAGTGAACTGCATGCCATTCTGTCACGCTGAATAGTGAGAGGAGAGGCCACAGCTTTCAAACCCTCATCTGAATATACTAACTCATACACACTCATCACTGTCACCCGCTCAGTCAAATACATATTCACAGTTCCCCTCGCTGCAGAGCTTTGGTAAGTCCTCTTTTCTTGGGCCTGGTATGTTCCACAGATAGTTTTCTAAATTGCTGTTACACTCACATCTCTGTAAGGAAACACATTTGCTGATGAAGTGTGAATGAGGGTGAAGCTGAAGTTGTCAGCAGGACGATTCACATTTTGTGATCTATTCGAGCTGCTCTGTCAGTGAAACAAAAGACGACTTCTCTTTTCAGTGTTCATTTCCAGCTCAGTGCGGTTTAATTTTTGATATATTAGGTAAGTTTAATCTCTGTTCAGTGAGTCATGTTGGACGTTTTGTATGCATCTGATCGGCACGAAGTTTGATGACTTCAAATGTTTTCAGATTAAAGCAGCAGAGCTGTGATGGTTCATCTCACATCAATCACACAGATTCTTCTGTCTCTCTTTTCCTCCTAATATTCACAGGGAGAGGGGATTTGTCCTCGACAGAAAATTTGCATTTTCTTTGAGTAAGTTAAACAGCAGAGAGCATGAAGTCACCTTACTTTCCAGCAAGATCTGTGCTTTTCCACAAAGAGGCAAATGGAGTGACGTATCGAGTCCCAGCGTTGCTCTACTTGTCCCGCTTCAAATCGTTTCTGGCATTCTGCGAGGAGAGACTCAGCCCATCTGACTCCCAGGCTCATCTCCTTGTCATGAGGAAAGGCATCTTCTACAGGAACTATGTGGAGGTCAGGTTTGTGTTCAATCATAGTTTATCATTTTTAAAAAAGGACCTGAGAGGAGGAATTAGTCTTAATATAAGATACTGCTGTACATGTAGAATAAATTATTTGGGTTAAAAGAAATAGGGAGAAGAACAATTGTGCAGTCTGTTGCACCATTTTCTGTATTTTCTCCAACATGCTACTTTCTGCAAAAAAACAACAACGAAAGATTAAAGTGAAATCATTCAATGTGGAGAATTTATTCATTATCAAATTATTTTAGAGTTTCAGTCATATTTGCAGTTGCAGTTGTACACAATTAATACATTTGATGGGATATTACATGTTCTCAAAGTGTACTGTGGTGCAAAGCTTTAAAAAAGGAAAAGAAATAACCTAAATTCAGTTGAAATGTGTGACAAGGTAATAATGAATATTTTGCTAATTAGGGGAAAATTGATGATCTTTTCAAAGAAGGTGGTTTAGAACAATGTCTTAGGTAAAATTCTGTAGATTTTCTTCTTTTGCCCTTTCTCATCTTCTGTGTTTGCCTTTCCCTGCAGTGGGGAGATATCTGTGTCCTGGGCACCGCCTTCCTGCCCGGCCACCGCTCCATGAACCCCTGTCCGGTGTACGACGAGTTCACGGGGACGCTGTTCCTGTTCTTCATCGCTGTTCTTGGTCACACGTCCGAGTCCTACCAGCTGGTGACGGGGAAGAATGTGACCCGACTCTGCTACGTGTCCAGCACGGACGGAGGCGTCACCTGGAGCCCCGTCACTGACCTCACCAAGAGGGTCATCGGAGAGACTATAAAAGGTGAGCCAACCGAAAACAGACTGGATCCTGTTTGTGAGTCATTTAAAGCAGAAAATGCCCTCATGAATCAATTTCATCTCTTTGCGATTATAACAAACTCACCCAGCCATTGAAGTGACCTGCCAGAAAAAAACAACTGCCGGTCAACAAAAAAAGATCACAAAAATATGATTTTTTTATGATCTTAATTTAAGGAAGATTACAGAAAATGTTAATCTCCAAATCTGTTTTCATTGCTGATGTTTAATACAAACGTGTTGTGTATTGTTTCACATTTTTTGTCGTATGGCATTTTCCCCCTCTGACAGAATGGGCCACGTTCGCTCTGGGCCCCGGCCACGGCGTCCAGCTGAAGTCCGGCCGCCTCCTCGTTCCCGCCTATGCTTATCACATAGAGTGCAAAGAGTGCTTCGGCCAGCTCTGCCTCACCGCCCCTCATGCCTTCTGCTTCCACAGCGACACCCACGGGAGAAGCTGGCGTTTCGGGGAGGCCATTCCCGCCCCGGAGAGCGTGGAGTGTCAGATGGTGTCTGTGGACGAAGAGGACGGCACCAACGTGCTCTACTGCAACGCCCGCAGCCCGCTGGGGTTCAGGGTGCAGGCCCTCAGTCTGGACGATGGAGCCGTGTTCCAGGAGGGCCAGCTGGTGCCCAGGCTGGCCGAGACCCCCAACGGTTGCCACGGCAGCGTGGTGGGATTCCCTGCTCCGCTGCATCGGTGCGAAAACCTTCAGAGCCAGCCCGGCCGGTCCAGACACTGGATGACCTGCACGGCGTCCGGCGATCCCACGCCGGCGCCGTCCAGACACGGCCCCCCCGCAGATTTCCTGACCCCCACCTGGGTGGTGTACTCCCACCCGACGTGGACGTCCGAACGCAAGGACCTGGGCGTGTTCCTCAGCCTGTTCCCCCGCGACCCCGACAGCTGGCGCGGGCCCTGGGTCATCTACGAGGGCCCCAGCGCCTACTCGGACCTGGCCTACCTGGAGCTGCCGCCCTCCCCGGGGGCGCCGCCCGCCGTGGCCTTCGCCTGCCTGTTCGAGTGCGGCACCAAAACGGCCTACGAGGAGATCTGCTTCAGCATCTTCACCCTCTACGAGCTCATAGATCATTTGCCCGGGGATGGCGAGCGGGGAGAGGAGAACGGGCGGCGTGGAAGGCAGCGGACAGAGGGAAGAAACAGAAAGGAGGCTCGGAGAGAACCAGTTATCCAGCAGGTGTCGCCTGTGAAGAGGAGGAGGAACAAAAGCAGGCTGCTGGAGATGTGCTCTCTGTCTTAAACATGGCTGATTTTTATTTTATTTTTTACGTCGTAGAACAACATGTTCAGATAACTGTTTGTTGTCAGTAGTTATTTTTTTTACTAGGCCATGGCTGGTCCATTGTTTCAGGTTAGATCAATGTCTTAGTTGATAAATGTAAATAGAATAGTTGCAAATAGTTTATTTGGGTTATTTGATGGAATTTGGATTGGGATTTAGTTTTGAATCGTATATTCAAAGTCTATTTCTTTTTTGTTACTCATTCTTTGACAATATCTAGTTCTTAATAGTGTTTATTCCATGTAAAAATATGTTGTTTGGAAACCTGTTTTAGATAAAGTAACTTTGTACATCAGGGCATCTTGTCTTTTATAGACTTCACTCTAAAGAATTCTGTGCAACTTATAATAAAAAACAGTCATCAGATATAGGTCTTGATTCATATTAGACCAAGCAAAAGCCATTTAATTAAAATAAAAGTTAGATAAAGAAGTGTTCTTCCCGTGTTATGTTCAATAAACAACTCTCAATACAAAGACATTTGATTTCTGTGTATTTTAAGAATATTTTCACAGCCTCTGCTTTCATCTTCATTTCAAATCAGCACATAAATGTCACACTTAGTATCAAGTGTCCTTATAATGGAGGCAAGATGGGTGAGCGAAACCTTGGGAAGCCTAATGGACGTCATTGGTTTTGGATAAACATCATTATAAACACTATCAAAGCGTCACTGTGAGAAGGACCAGTGATATGTGGTGTCAGACTACAGCTACAGCTTTTGTATCATAGTTTGTCCAAAGCAGAGCATCAAACGAGTGCAGAAAAAAACTCAATTAAAACAGAAAAAGACCTGAAGTTAAACTCTGCTCACCTTTGGGGATCTGGCCTCTCTTGTCTCTTCCTGGTAGAAATAAAAAAGCCCAAAAAGTGAAGTGTGAGCCAGTAAAAGCACGAGCAGCTTGGCTCCTGAACGCATTTGTTGTGTGGCAGTACTTTGTGAAATATTTATTTTCGCAGATCGCACTGAGAAAATACATGTCTGGGTTTCAAAGAGCTCTTTTTCAGGCCATTTTCTATGTCTTGGGAAAGACTCTCTCACAGGGGATAGGATGCTTAAATTAGTGTTTGAATGAGTTGGGACCCACTCCTTCCTAGGTCATCCAGTTCTTTAGAGGATATTAAATGTCTGGCAAGTTTTGGGTTTTAATCGTTTTTGCAGATAGATGGATCACATGTTCTACGTTTAATCTGACACTCTGGGTGAGGAAGAGCTGCAGCATATCAAACTCTGATAAATCACACAAGCGGCAGCTATTCTGCGAAAACAAGCTTCTTCTTGAGGGGGTTTTAAAACATTCACAAGCTGATTGCTCCAAACCCAGATAAAGTGAAGCAGTTTGTTTACTTAGGAGGGGAAAAAAAAAGGAAAAACAGGCAGATTGTGAAGACAGCAGGATCTGGACAGCCTCTGCCCCCCCGCTCCCCTCCTCTTCCTCCTACTTGTTGCATAACTCTACGCAGTCTTTTCTCTGCCTGGACACTTTCACACAAGCTGTTTTTGGATCTTTGCTTTCACGTCTGGGCTTTACTGTGGACAGCAATGGGTTTTAGGAGCATCATTGTTCTGGCTGTGTTCATGGGGGTGAGAGGGAGCCCCACTCCTGAAGCAGCCCCCGCGGACGTGACGGCTCATTTAAAAAATATACCCCAGACGGCGACGGAAACAGGACAGGTGAGAGGGAACAAGCTAAGACTGCTTAGGGGGTAAAGCATGTTTTTGTTCCTTCGGCTTTTTTAGCTTTAGCAGACTCGGGCCTCTGGTGTGGACTGTGTGATAAAATGTGGATTTTCCTGTATTTCTAAGACTTTTGCTGAGAAACTGTTTTAACAGAGACAAAGAAAACACTTGAAGGCTATATCTTTGTTGCAGTCATAACATCAAGTTCATTCTGTACATAGTACAAAATCTGTTAGAAGCTCAAGTTGACTGAGCTTTCTGTAACTATACATTTTTAACACCGGCTGCAGTTTTGAGGTCAAATGGATCTAAAATCAAGACAATAAATATGTTTTTGTGAAGATTAAACACCAGGAAGGAACTTAAAACAACAAAGTAAAAGAAAAAGTCCAAATCTTGTTGGGCTCCACAAACTGGAGCATTTCTCTGGAATCCTGGCTGATGATGGGCAAAAACGGGAGGAATTGGAGAACAGTCAAGTCAAACTTGAACACTAAACAGTCAGGTGGAGACACTTCAGCTCTTCCACTTGTTCTTCTTTGCAGGTAGCTGTCCCGTGGCCTCCAAGTATTTGTGGACGAGCTCCTCTTGCGTGGCTGGCAGGCAGGGCTGATATCTGCTGTAGTCCATGGTGTATTCTCCCTTTCCCTAGATAAACAATGACAGAGCGGCAAAAGGAAAACGATTATTCACATCCTTTCTGACCCCAGAGAGATCTCTGAAAATGTTTTTTCATGAACTAAAAAACTGCATCCCCTATCGGTCAGGTCGGTCTTTCATTTAATATGAAGACTGATGAAGATCCCTCTAAAAGTGCTAAGTTTTTCTGGTGTTTGACTTTAAACGTACTTCAGTGCAGGAGCGGAGCTCGGTGGCGTAGCCGAACATATCGTTGAGAGGAACCTGTGAAAGGAAACCACAAGCACAAATGTTGCTAAAGACATAGAGAGCCGATAAATTCAATTAAAAGAATCCAGGTGATTTTACCAGCAGCAAATGTGTATGCTGTGGCAGTGAAACAACACGGGACTCACATCAGCGTACAACGTGAAGTATCCGTCGGCTCCGTCCTGCCCGGTGATGACGCCGTGGCGCCGGTTGACCCCGGCGATGACCGAGCCCTGAAACTCCTGAGGTGCGACGATTTCCACGGACATGATCGGCTCCAGGATGACCGCGTTGGCCTTCTCCATAGCTGTGTGGGGAGGGATTAGGCCAGTGTGAACACACAACTCACAAAAGCTGTCTGACTCGCTGAGTCAAAGGAGGAAACTTGAATCCAATGGAATTGAAGGGTGTTTATTTCGGACTCTTTCAGCATAACACACTTTGTGACAAGATTGTGAATGAACTTGCAAGATACCTTGGCTTTTAATTTGCGATTACTTTTGCGGTCAACAGAAAATATCGGCACCCTAAGGTCTACCCTCTCTGTCTCAAACAAAAAACAAGAAACATAGACAGACACGGGGGATATTTATCAGGCAATCATCCAAAACCCAGCCACACCCAGACCCACACACACACACACACACACACACACAGACATATATCCAGACACATTCACTCCCTCTTCTGACAAGTGCTAAACAAACCCCTGCCTGTACAGTTTCGCTGAGACCTCAGGTGGTTTTTAGGGGGTCGAAACGCACCGAAATGTTTGGTTCACGAGCCTGACCCACTCACCTTGCTTCACGGCGCCCTCGGCTGCACGGATGAAGGAGATCTCATTGGAGTCGACCATGTGGTTACCTCCGTCTTCCAGGAGGAATCGGACGCCGGAGATTTTGTGTCCGCTCAGAGGGCCCTTCTCACAGGAATCCCTGAAGCCCTGTAGAAGGATGAGGGGGAAAAAAAGAAGAGAAAATGACACAAACGCAGAGACGTTCTGCCCCTACGAGGCAGCCTGAGCTCCGGTCAGAGTGAAAAACGGCGGCCTGCACGCGCCTTCTCCACCGCCGGCACAAACTGCTTGGGGACGTTGGTTCCCACAGTCTGGTCCTCGAACTCCAGCTTGGTGTAGTCCTCGGGCTCAAGAGGCTCCAGGACCCCGGTCACTTTGCCGTACTGCCCGGAGCCACCGGTCTGCTTCTTGTGGGTGAAGTCGAACCTGGAGACAAGAGAGCAGCCACATTTTGAAGCAGGCTGACTCATCAATAAGATCTGGGGGGAGGAAATATGTCACAGTGATCTGAATTTATCAAATACAGGCGAATGATAGAAGGGGTTGTTTTTGGCAGCCTCACTTTGATATTTGACCTTTAATGTAAGAATAAAAAGCTTTACTACGTCATACAGCCTGATCTTTAATGAGAGAGGAAGTTGAGTAATTTTACGAATGTATTAGGATGTAATTGAGCTTTTTTCCCCCTCCATCTTCTTTTTATAACCTCTAACCTTTAATCACTTAGTGTGGGTCTCTTACCTCCATCTGTCTAGTGGAGTACAGACTACTTCCCTCTTGTTGCAGGTATATAAATTAGAGAACATTTTTGAAGACATGGCTAAAAGTCTTATATATGTTGCAATATTATCAAATGCCCCATTTTTTAATGTGTTGTATCTGTTAGATACTCTTCAAGAGACAAAGACTGCTGGCAGTGTTAAGAATAAGCTCAAAGCGATAACAGTTTATCTGACTTTTCCCCTCATGGAAAAGCTGACTAATATCAGGCATCATATTTTTTCCCGGCTGATAAAAATCTGTACATTTCTTTCAACTAAAGCTGAGGCTCAGAATCTCAACAGCACATCTTATCTGTTGCTTTTGAAACGCTTCCATGTGCTGTCACTGCCGGCTCTGTGAGAAAAGGCGCTCTGTGTCTTTAAAAAGGGGGCAGACCTAAAGAGCTCTGCTGTCAAGGAACAGGGAAGTCATGTCTCTATTTGCATGGGGAGCAGCTGGCTCGTAGCGCGGAACAGAGACTCTTTCCACCTTCTGGGCGCTCGGCACTACAGCGCAGGCAAGATCAGGCTCTAACCCAATCCACTTCTATCGTCTTCACCCTCACTCCTCAGTCTCTTCAGCTCGCTTTTGATATTTTCTCTCTCTTTTTAACACAAGAGAAAGCAGCCACACCTGGCTGACACCGAGGGGGGTCAAAGTCCTCTGAGGATAAGAGCGCCCATCCCTGCTTGTGTCCTCATTTCCTCCATTATTGCCTCTCTTTTTGTGCACAGAATTCGGTGTTAGAGGTGGAGGCTGCTGAGGAGGTTGTGATGGCTACTGGCGAGCTGAACCCAAATCACTACCCCGCTCAGAGGGCGGCCAAGGTGGTCCAACACTACCTCAACACGCGCCACGGGTCCCCGTACCGACTGTTTGGCCTGCAGCGCGTCCACAGCGGGAACGCGGAGGTTGGTCTAACGTCTGGGGCTGTGGACAGGTCTGACTTAACTCAGGCTCACTGGTGAGTTTGTCTTCTAGGACGTGGCCGACTCCGGGAGAAAGTACCAGCTGGAGATTTCAGTGCACGAGATCATCAGCAATGTAGGACACGCTCCTTCTTAAAGAATTTTTTTAAATCCCACTAATCTGAGTCATTATGTGATGAAAAGAAAAAAACAAACAACTGTTGCTTCATTCAAATGATCTCATAACTGTCTTATTCTAAGTTTGGTTCCATTTTTTTGCACCGATATAGATTTCCGAAGCAAGTTTTTATCTCTTGCAATTGAACATTTACAATGGCAGCAAATACCTTCACCACATTCATATAAGACGTTTAGTTTGAACAGTCGGTAATCTCTGGACTGTAGTGGCAGCAGGTCTAACCAGGCTACATAGAAAAAGGAGGCTCCCATAACTGTGTGACTCACTGGTCTACCATTGCTTCATCCCTTCCCGTGTCGGCTGCAGTCTGTCACCCGCTACTCAAATGTCTTGTTTCACTCAGATGTTGGCCTTTTTTAAACCCGTTTCTTTCAATCCCGCCAGACGACGCAGAAGTGCTCAGCAGAGGTTTTCTTTCCACGAGGGGAAAAGCAACTCTCTGCCCAGGTCAAGGCCTCCCCGTGCGAGGAACTCCTGAGTAACGACGTAAAAGCCCAAGAGGAGGCCTTATACCAGCGGTACAGCAGCAACCAGAGCCTGATGTCGGCGGAATATTTACCTGGTACGTCTAAGAAAACAGAATCGGCAGATTTCAGCCATAAATGAACACAGAAAGTCAGGTATGGCCCAACTTCTGCAGTTTGGCGTTTTCCACATTGTGGTTTTAGAGCAACCTCGCCGATCCACCTTCAGGTTTCCCGAAACGTGTCGCCTACGGTTTTTTCATCATGCGGGACGGAATATACTCTTAGTGTGTAATCGGGTTCTGTGTCAACTTCCCCCCAGATAGCTACGGTCACATAGAGCCGGACATGAAGCCTTTCTGGCACCTGGCCATCGTGGCCTCCAGCTCCATCATGCTGAACGAATCCACAGAAAACACCCTGTACAACATGGCTCAGGTGGCCAACATCACACAGCTGGTAGGTCCTCTCATCTGTCATAAAATGCTGGGTTATTAGTTAGGTCTTTGGAAAAGGGGACTTTGGGTTTTCGTCTTTTAAAACTTGTCTTTGAGGCCAGTTCAATATGACTGGATCATTATGAAAGCCAAAAACGAATATCTGCCCAAGATTGTCTTTAGTTAAGCAGAAATTCATTCACAAAACACTCATAAAAAGAAGTTTCTCTGGAGGAGTAAGTCCGAGATTCGAACTGGATTGACTTTCTGTCCTCTCATTTGTTTTTCTCTTCGCTGCAGGCGACTGAGAACGAACAGCTAAAGTTTCAGGCCCACATTCTGCTGCATGAGATGGTGTCCCAGGTGAGCAAACTTTTATTTTAAATAAACGCCTTGAAAACAGACAGAGCTGCAGCCAATTTCAGTATTCATCCCGATACCTGAGGGGATAAAACTCTAAAACGAACGAATATGATGTGCTTGTCTTGATATATTTTTAAGCGTTTTGTTCTTTTTTTAGAATGTAAATAAGAGAAAGCTTTTACGCTTTCTTTATAACTACTTATACTTTAAAAATGACCCATTGCATCCTTTTAGCTCTGATGCCTTCCCACCTTAAATTGGTTCGCATTAGATGGAAAACACTGAAATCTTAGGAAACTTTAGAAACTGTTTCTCAACCAAACTGCCCTTTCTTTGTGTTGATGTGTAGGAAATCCTTCACTGGAAGCTGCTGTTCAGCTGGTCCTCTGCAGGAGGAGTGACTGTGCTGCAGACGGAGCAGCTCCCTCACTGCCACGAGTGTGAAAAACCTCCGGCCACAAGCTAAACTGCCGGCATGCTCAGTGCTGCCATTACCACATCTTGTACTCGGATATTGCATAAACTCCCCCCGAACACACTGTTGATTCTTGTGTTACTAAGCTCTTGACATACTGGATGTTGCAGTTTATACTGAATAAACACTGACTGTTTGCTGGTGGATTCTGGTTCCTGTTTGTGTCGGCAGATGAAGACTTACGGCACAGGGCTGGTTATGGTCTCTCTGAAGGCCACTTTGGGTTTCCCCATCACGCAGGGGCAGTTATATTCACGCTCCATCCTCTGAAAGAACAGACCAGAACTAAATTCAAAACAATTTTAATCCATTTACAAAAAAAAGGGGAAAACAAACAAAACAAAAAAAAAGCTTGAGTCTTTGACCAATCTGAATAAGGTATGAAATGACAGACTTGTTCCACAGAGAAGAGCTCAGTATGAGTTTTTACCTGGGAATAGATCTCCAGATGCAGCTCACCCATGCCTGAAATGATGGTTTCTTTGCTCTCTGTGTCATAATGGACTCTGAATGTGGGATCCTCTCTGGTGAAACGGTTGATGCCTTTGGAGAATTTATCCATATCATTCTGGTTGAAAACAAGGTGAACAAAGACAGAGTTTGAGATGATTTTTTAAAGCTTTGGGATCATGCGATAAATGATGTTTTACCTTGTTGGATGGCTTCATGGACATGGAAATGACAGGTTCTGGGATGTGAATAGACTCCTGAGGGGCAGAAATGAAACAAAACACACCAATTGTAACTTAAACGAAACTAACAGGCATGTCTGCTGCTCTTTTTCTGGCACTCTGAGCGGCCAAAACCTTCACACTCGCTCACCATGGAGAGGTCGGCACCACTCTTGGATGTGAAAGTGTCTCCACTCGCACAGTCAATCCCAAACAGAGCGCAGATATCGCCGGCGTACACCTCGTCCACATCCTGAGAAAGAAGGGGCAGTAAGACTATAAATGAATTAAAGGAAACTAGAGAGGATATCAAAGGAATGATCAACCGAACAAAGTCTTCCTTGACTTTGCTCAATGAACAAAATCAAGGATTTTTACTTAAAATATTACAATCAAATTAAAAGAAACTGCTTCACATTTTGTTTTGATGCAAGATAGATGGAAACATGTCGCTTGGGCGAGACAGGGGATGTGGTTGTTATCTTCACAGTTGGCTTGAGCCATAAGAGGAACCTAAGCATTCTGACCAGTCATGTTCTTCTGTTGTTTAAACTGCAAACCACCAATGGAAAACAGACTGCTCTCACCTCCATCTGATCGGCGTGGAGGCGCACCAGCCTCTGCACCCGGACTTTCTTGCCTGTGCGCGTGTTGTAGATGTACTCTCCCTTCTTCAGACAGCCCTGGTACACCCGTATGTACGTCAGCTGCCCGAACCTCCCGGCCTGCAACATCAAAACGGGACAGACTGAGACCTGCCTGGTGCAAGGAAGCGATGAAGAGAAGGAGATTTTATATATTTCCTCAAATAAATTTTACCTCCAGTTTGAAGGCCAAACCAACATAGGTGTTGGAAGAGTCTCGTGTAGGGCTCATTTCAATCTTTGAGCTTTCCGCAGTCTCTCTGTTAAAGTGAAAAGACAACTTTAATAGCCAGCTTTAAAAAAAACATAGAAGTATATTTAGATATACTGTGTTTTTTTAAAGTGGTATGCGCAGAAAAATGTAAAAAATGATTAAAAACTAAACGTACTCATCATTGCGGATGGCGTAGTTTTTGACCTCACTGGGGTTCGGCAGATAATCCAAGACGGCGTCCAGCAGGGGCTGGACGCCTTTGTTCTTCAGCGCTGTTCCCACCAGCACCGGGGTGAAGAGACGCTGGACCGTGGCTCTGCGGATCGCATCCTGGAAGATACCGCATCTGGTTTCGTTCCATTTCTGATCCACGTGCAGTTTGAATCGTTTAAAGCGATGAAGCTGCCAGTACGAAATGTTTCTAATCAAAGCACCCGGCGGAATCCCAGGAACTGCGGACGGGCACGATGCACTCTTTTATTACACGCACCTTCAGATCTTCTTTAGTGGGAATCTTCTCTTCCAGGAACATCTCCCCCAAGATTTCGTCAGCGTTAGCCACACACTCCACCAGTTCCTGCCTCCGGTCCGCAGCTTCAGCTCGGAAGTCCGCAGGGATCTCATCGTAGCGGAGACTCTGACTGCATGGGCAGGGGCAAAAAGCCGAATGAACCAGTGCGCCACAGTGAGATCACAACAGGCTTCGTAATCTGAGACCGGTCCAGTGGTGGCGGCACAGTTCAACTCAGAAACGGCATAAAGATAAGTGTCCCTTACCCAAAGGGGCCCTCAAAGTATATGCTCCTCTCTTCTATAAGATCGATGATGCCGCGCATGTTTCCTTCCAGGCCCATGGGGATGTTCACAAATGCTGCATTGTGGTTCAGTTTGGATCTATGGGGAAAAAAAGAAGGAAGGGAAGGGAAATGCATTTAATGTTATTTTTACTACCAATGAATTAAAAATGATCATATGGATATATTGGATTTTTAATTCTTGTGACCATATTTTTATTTTAAGATATTAAATATTTAATACAAGAATCACATTGTCAATCTTGACTCTAACATTGTGATTTTGGTCAGTGTATATTTTTTCAAATACTGGTAACACTCGTCGTCTATCTGCTGATCTATCGGTGCTGCTGTTATACAGCTGTTAAGAGGTCTATTAAATATAGTCACATCGATTTGATAAGGACACCAGGATATCCTCCGTAGCCCTTTTCAGATATCGGTTCCATTTTATCAGAGCAAAAAAAGACGTTCACTGCAGAACCTCTTTGGTCACACGTCAAACAGAGGAGGCTCATTCCCACCTCTGTGTCCATCAGGCATCAGGAAATCAGCAGTGTCAAAAGTCTCAGTGCTTTTCATTGCATATATCGCCTGTTTTTCATCTGTTGCTACCTAATTTGTGTAGCAATCATCAGTGTGTTGGCTCCCTGAGGATTTGCTCCTCAAACTATGGGTAGCACCATGGGACACACTTAGACATTTCATTGAAAAGGGAAGAAAAAGGATTTGAAAACATCCTTATATGGTAACCAATGAAGTATAACATTAAATGGTACTGTGAAGCCTAACTCTTCCCTCATTAATCACTCAAAACTCTGGGTGCTCAGAAGCACAAAGTAGGCACCTCATCTGCAGCAGGGCCCGGCCGGGGTTGGCTCCCATTCGGTCCAGTTTGTTTATGAAGGTGAGGAAGGGCACGTTGTAGCGCTTCATCTGTCTGTTGACGGTCATGGTCTGACACTGGACGCCCCCCACCGCACACAGGACCAGCACGGCCCCGTCCAGCACACGGAGCGCTCGCTCCACCTCGATGGTGAAATCCACGTGACCTGTGGAATCCCAAAAGGCCAGATGAGGACGCACAACTGCCAGCGAGGTTATGACGACGGGGTTTGAACTAATGCGGAACACAGAATTAAATATTCTCAATCTGGGAGAGATGCTTAGTCATATTCTTCTCATTGAGTCCATGCAGTAACATACATAATACATATCTTGCCATTTTATGATTCTGAACCATTCCATTCTGGACTTTAAACTTGTGTTTTTCAAATGCTTTTGTCAAATGTTTGCATGTGAGGTCACGAGCTGCTGTGTTGTTGTCATGTTGTCAATAATTAGACTTCAAACACAGTTACAGTCTCTGTGTTGACCAAAGTTTAGAACAATTCTACTGAGATATATCTATGGAATATCTGATGGTTGGTAAATGTATTTGGGTAGTGCAAATAGAGCCTTATAAAACAACAGCTAATCACTAGAATAAACGACATTAGGCCAATTACATCAGAGAAAAGCTTCAAGTTTTTGGGGTCAGGAGCAGCTTAGTACCTGGTGTGTCGATGATGTTTATGTTGTGGTCCTTCCACATGGTGTATGTAGCAGCTGACTGGATGGTGATGCCCCTCTGCCTCTCCAGCTCCATGGAGTCCATGGTAGCCCCCACACCATCCTTCCCCTTAACCTTCACGCCACAGAGAGGAGAGTCAGCTCCCAAACACAGGACTATACGCCTCACCTCACGTTGCTCAAGTAGAGAAACACTATCAATAGTTTCTTTGCGAACTTACTTCGTGAATCTCCGCTATCCTGCCGGTGTAGTAAAGGACTCTCTCGGTCAGGGTGGTCTTCCCCGAGTCGATGTGAGCGGAGATCCCGAAGTTGCGGATCCTCTCGTTGGGCAGGATCCCGGAGGAACATGTCCGACAGCTGTCGATGAGCACCTGGAGGTGTGGGGCAAAGGCATACCGATGCTAAGGGCTGGTTTATCCCCACTAAACAGTTATGAAATGCAGATTTGCGATCACGGGGGAGCTTGGCTGATCATGCGAAATGGGTTCGTTACATTTACCTTCTTTAGTGTGACGCTTCCTGGTGACAAAATGTGCGTCCTTGTCAGACTAAGACCGGCGGTTAGTACTCTCATTTTTCCCCAAAACCCGCTTCAGTACGACCCCGAGTCTGCAAACAGCCCGGTGAATGTCACGCCGGGGCCCTGGTGCCTGGTTGTGAAACAAGACTTCCGCATCTACGGAAAGCCAGCTGCGCCTAAAACAGCTATCGTTCGCCCTTATTATAAAATAGATTGTAGGGGCAGTGTAAGGATTTGATGGGGGTTTCTGGTCTTATTTGCTCTGCTTTAAGGTAAATGTACAACACATTAAAGTATATGGTTAAACTGTTTAAGCATGATTAGATGCAATTCTAAGATTGAGTCCAACAAAATGTTAGAATTGAAGTAATTACATACAATTTATTTAAGCACAGTCTCTACATGGTAAACATAACATAATACATGACAAATGTAACATACAATATTATACATCATATATACAGTGTATTCCTGATAAGTTAGAATTAATAAACAAATCAACTCAAGTTTGTTGTATCTACTTTCATTTAATCTAAAAAACAGTGGCATAAAGAGCCACATTGGGAGCCGAAACGCCTGGGAGCATTCAAAAGGTTTTTCCTCTTCAAAAGGTCTGTGGACACCACTGCTCAAAATAACATCATTTAAAATAACAGACCATCTTGTCTCTTTGCATTGTCTGACATCATCCTTCATCATTTGCTGTGTTCCTCTTAAGGCCAATTTCACAATATTTAGTACTTGCTCATTTCAATTAAAGGTTGCTGTTATACAAGTCTTAGAAGAGGGATAAAATAAGATGGCAGTAGTTGGTATGTGAAGTAAATGGGCATCGATAAGCTGTCTTAACGTCCTGATAGATTCAAAGACTCCAAAGGCCACATTTCCAGTTACACCCAAAGGCAGCACCGTTGACTGCAGCTGTCGCTTCGTGCGGCCTGAGCCAGACCCAGCCCCCGTTTCCACAAACGTTTCCTCTATTTGTAAGCCGCGGATTGTTACGATACGCATCAGCGTTTCCCCTCGACTTTCTGAGCCCAGACCAGAGGAGAAGACGCGTCTCCACGCGCAGCCGGCACTGTGAAACCTCCACCACCCTCGTGGCCCTTTAACAGCTGCTTGGCACAGCCGACCCCAGGACGACCTGCCGGGTAAGTTTGAGCCCAATTCCCCATTCCCCCATCAGTCCTGTTTTAGTTCGTTCATCTGTCAGTGTGACCGAAAGGCATGTTTTGGTCTTGATGTCCAGAATATGTTTTGGTTCAGCAGAACTTTTATTAGTTTACGTTCTTTGTCCAGTTCGTTTGTTTTTTTGTGTGTTTTTTGTGTCTGGATTAAAAGAGTTTGCTGTCAAAAACCAGGCTTAAGGTTTCACAGAAGCTCTTTAAACTAAAGTAATCAGGAAGCGAAGCAGCCACATGTTCTTTAAACAGATTTGTCTTCAAGTAAACCGTAATGAGAGCTCATGTCTTCCACTGTGGCCTTTTCCATTAAACAACAGAAAGAGATAGATGGTGAGAGATAGAAGAGAGAGAAAGAGAGAGGGAGGGTGTTTGGTGGATCTAACTTCCCTTTGTGGCTCTGACATCTTAGCTCATTTTGAGTGTTTTATTGACCTGTTTTGAAACAACCAACTTCCCATACGGTTATGTGTTCCATGCATGAGCACATACGCTCCATGTGAGCCAACGCACACGCCTTTGAGTCACTCACACCCGCCGTTTTGCAGGAAATCTGATGAGCAACATGACTTGTGTCAAAGGAAAAATACAAAAAAATAACCCGACCAAAGTGTTTTTGGGCAGAAGTGCTCACTGAAGGCTCGGGGGTTGAAAGAGCTACAAAGCGCAATGCAACATCCAGCCAGTTCTTTTTCTCTTCGAAGACAAAACATCACTGTGCATGTGTTGCCAGTCCAAAGCAGGAGAGGGAACGTTCAAGGTCTCTTTCCTGAGAAAGCCCCGAACGTTGGGCCTTATCTCCTCGGCCTCCGCCCGTTTGTGACCTCTGGCTGCCTAGAAGGTGGAGTTCATTACATGAGATTACTAATGATTTTGGAAATTGCACAGGAAGGCTTTTTTGGCTGTGCGTTTCTGTGCGGTTCACGATGAGCTGTAATTTCCATCGTCACATTTCCTGTCTCATTTCCTGCCTTTGAGATTTCCTCCTGACGGCAGAGTGACTCCGGTTCTGTCCTGGTTGTGACGGTGAGGGATGTTTAGTCGCATCACAACCCAGAGTACACTGAACTGTGAAATTCCTGCCTCCACTTCTTAGGTCGGGGTGTTACATTTGTGGGTGGCTTCGTAAAAAAACAACAACAACAAATCATGGATTGTGTTGAAGCATTTAAATTTGGAAGCTACCTGCATGGTGCGCAGACACAGGAGGGCAGCAGCACACACAAATCAGGCTTAAACTCTGTGAAGTGACTCAATCTTTGCTATTTTTCTGGTTCCTACAGTCAACTGTTCCACTGAATATTATTTAAAGCAGCAGGTTCATTTGGTTTGAGAGTTTTTGTCCTGGAAAGCTGCCACAGGGCATAAATAAATGTCTAATGAATTCTGTTTGTGCTGTACTGTATCCTCACTGTGTTTGGAGCAGTTTTGTGACAGACTATGGTCTAATTGTTTGCTAAATCCTCTTCCATCATCTGCTTCTTCCTCCAGATTCAAACATTCCCAAAGTGGGTCAAAAGCCATGGACCAATGTAATACTTCCCAAACTTGATACAGGACAGTGGTGACTAAGGCCACGCATTGTGACCTCAGCACTTTATTTATCTGTGATTACTCACGGAGGGTGTGCCCGGGAGGCAGTGACTACTACGGCATGCGGGATGGGCCAAACTCGCTCTGATCTGTCTCGCAGCACCACCTCCCCGCGCAGAGCCCAATGGAAAGCAGGCGAGACGGGGCACCGACTCGGCGTTCGCCGATTTAGGAGCGACGAGAAGCCACGGAGAGCGCAGCTGGGCAGGAACCCGATGAAAAACAAGGTCCTGTCGTGCCTGGGAAGGAGAAAGCGAGACTCCGGCCAGAGCGAAGCGGGTTCGGGGGGCGCCATCGCGGCCGGGGAAGAAGCGACGCGCGGCGGCCACCGTGTGGGAAAGTTGCCGAGGGACGAGGTCGAGTCGGAGGCCGGGGGGGGACGTCGAGAAGTTCCGGGTTTTTTTCGCGAGGCGCCGTCCGGTCCGGGTGGAGATGCCGAATCCGGCCGGAGAGCCGTGATCCGGGAGGCGTCCGATGCTTCTGGCTCGGAAACGCGGAGCGGTGAACGCGACGGCGCGGGCTGCGTGGAGCCGACACCCGTGGGAGGGGACGATGCCTTGGATCCCCCACCCAGGGCCATGGAAGAGCTGCCGCTGGGGGGAGACGAGGCTCGGACTCGCGCCGCGTCTGAGCTGGTGAGGGCACTGACCGGCACCGGTCCGCTTCCGGCCTCCGACCCGGACCCCGAGCGGAGCGGCTCCGTTCCGGCCCCGGATCCGGACCAACGACTGCTCCTTGCGCCCTCGATCAGGGACGACCCGGTTGGAGCAAACATGACCAAAACGGACCTTAAAGGATTCCCCCGTTCCCCGAACCCCCCCGGTGAGCCGGACGCCTGTTGTCCGGTCGAAACCGAGAGCGAGAAGGACTCCGACCCCCCCCACCGGGGCACCCCGGGAGCCCGGAGCTTTCCAGGAACCATCCCGAAACTGATCATCACCAGAGACCCCAGTCCGAGCCGCCCCCACGAGACGGACGAGTGTCTGGAGCCCCACGCGGACGACGAGTCGCCCTGCTCGGACAGCGGCTGCGGGGGGTCCCCGGCCCTGATGCGCTCCCCCAGGAAGCTGTCCAACTCCTCCTCCATCGGCCTGTCCTCCGCCTCCTCCTTTGAGGAGTCCGAGGACGACTTCACAGGCAGCGACATCGAGTCCAGCCTGTCCCCGACCCTGTCCCTCTGCGGGCCGGACGATGGCACAGGGGTGAGTGTCTTCTGTTTCCTCTCTTTTTCTTTCCTTTTCTTTTTTTTGTTGCCTTTATTGGAAAATGCCTAACTAAGTTCTCACAACAACAACAGAAAAAAAAACCTGCCTTACAGCTTCAGTTGCCAAAAATGCAGGTTGCAGCTTTTGTGCTATGCCCCCCCCCCCCCCCCACACACACACACACACACACACACATACACACACACACAGACAATGGCCATGATGTCAGCTACACAGTGGCCACAAGTCCAATGGAAATGGGCTGAGCAGAATAACCGATAGAGGCCGAGGGGAAAGGAGAGCTGTCAGGTGAGCAGCTGATAACAGCCGGCTCTGTGTGGACGCGGGTCCAGTATTTCCATATTAATCTGGAAGATTGGAGCCTGCGGAGAAACGCGGGCCAGCAGCCGCCACATCTGTCCCTCTCGGCCATGTCCCAACGGTGACGGTTTAATCCCAGGATGTGAGGGAACAGATGACAACAACAACAAATAAAGAGTGGTTCAGTGTCCCACTTCATGTGGACTGTGGGGACAAAATGAAGAAACAATAACAAGTCGGGGAAGTTTCTGTGTGTGTGTCTGGGTGTGTGTGTTCGAAAGGTTGAGGTGCTCGTCCCGTTCCACCCAGAGAGCTGATTCCTGTAACTGAGGGGAAAGAGGCCTATACTGCTTAAACGGGCCACCACAGTGCCTGGTGGTGATCACATGGCTCTGATCAGGTCAGCCATTCGGCCATTTAAACACAAGGCAAGCTCATCTAAAAACAATGTTTACCTGTCTTTTGATTAGGCGCCGTGATTTACATTTGTGTATTTAGGCTGACGCGTTTCCCCCAAAGTGCAGGAGGGTTGGGTACAGTTCAGACTTCAGGTGGGTTGAGGGAATTTTGATGGAGGCCAAGAGAGCAGAACATGAAGGGGGGGAGCGGCTGATTTGAGATGAGTTAGTTTTCGTAATGTTGCCTCTCCTCCAGACCTGAGAGGACATTTAAAGTTTCCCACATCGGAAGCTGTGACTCACAGCGGCTCTGTTGACTAGATATGACTGGAATGCTGTGAAAACAGGACGTCTGGAACGATGAGCGCCTTCCAGTACCTGGAGTTCTTTTCTCAGCGCCGCCTTGATCTTGAATATCCGGGTCGGTGAGCCCTGCCCAGCTGTCACTCTGCCTTTCGTTTTCTGTAGGACTGAGTCGTACTCTGAGTTATCGTCTAATATTCTGGTCCTCAGCTTTTTGTTCTCAGTTGATGGTTCCCTTCAATCAGAGTATCTATGGATTTTTTAAGTGGAGACAGAAAAAAATTACCTCTAAATTATAGCCACTGTTGAATATAATTGATTTCTATTGTAAATAATCCAAAACTCTGAAATATCATAATTACTGTCATGTTGCTATGAAAAAACAACAACAAAAACAACTGATGGCTTAAAAAAAAGGAAGTGCTAGTCTAAGGTCAGTTTATTTGTTGTTCAATAGATCAGAGGTCGACCAAGATAGAGCACAATGAGTCGATTAAACGTCCATGAACAATAATCAACACGGGCCTTCCTGTATTTGCTTGTACTCACAATTAATGGGCGCTCCCAGATTTCCTGTGATTCTTCTGCCTGCTGTAGCAGATCCACGCGCTCCCCCACTGGCCCACCGGAGTTTCGCCTCCTCTCGGCCGATCGAGTTCAGCATGGTGTCGAAACGCACGTTTCCTCACACTGCGAACGGAGGAGTTCACCCTCTGTTACGATAGTGACCTCTTGAATAAGCAGAGTGTCATTTCCAGTCAGTAAAATGAGCAAAAAAAAACCCAGCTGGAGCTGAACTCCAGCTGTGGGGCAGGACTTGTACTCCAGCTGTGGCTGTACTCCAGCTGTGTGAGGCAGACCTGTGGGCCTGATAAGGGCTGCCTCCAACCAGCACGTGCTGTCCCCCCACCCCCCTCCCTTTGGTTGTGATTCACCAAAATGAGTGTTTTTTCTTTTTCTTTTTTTTTTTTTTTGCTGAGTTTCGGGCAATCCTGGAGCCTCTGTGTTGGCTATGTGACGTCAGAAGACACTCGCTCTCAGGAGCGCACGCGCAGGCGACCATGCTGTCTTGCGTTCAGAGTTGAGCGTGTCATGGAAAATTGGGCCGAAGGCAGAGCTGGTTGCTAGGCAACGGCTTTGCCATATATGGTGCTTTTTTTTCTTTCTCTCCTTGTCTTGCTCTCTTTCTCTCTCTATCTCTATCTCTCTCTCTCTCTGGGACAGTAACTGCTCTGTCCCTGACATTTGAACACCATTAGATGTTAATTCCAGTTTCGTCCCCTTTTGTTCCCGTCAGCTGAATCTGCTCTCTTCTCGTGACCTTTTACCATCATGTTTTCCTGGGAGGCAGCCTGAGGCGTGCAGTCTGAGGAACGGAAAACAAAAGAAAGAAAGTCGGGCTAAGCTGACAAAAACAAAAAAAGGCAGGGAAAAACGAGATGCTGACGGCGGCAACACGCGGCCTCCACGGGGCCAATTCCTCTCATTTCTGCGTGCTCGTTCATTCACGAGCCACAATCGCAGACTTGTTCAACCCACACGTCACTCCCACGACCCCCCGACGCAGGGGTCCTGTTGAAAAGTTGAAAAGAAAAACCCCCTAAAACATACTGAGTACATATCTGCTCTCCCTCCAGCGGTGGAGGCCATTAACGCCCATCATTAGAAATATAGCTGTGATTCAGTCTGTGGGAAGTTGAATCTATTCTAGTTTGTGCTTTTTTAAAGGGACTTGAGTCTTTAATTTGATAAATCTAATTAAAAAAAAAACTTTCAGCATTGACTGTTCAAAGTTAAAGATGGTAACACAGTGTTTAATTAATGTAAAGCCGAAGTTATCGGTCATGGATTCATTTAAAATGGAACCCCCCTCTGTTAATCTGCTCATTACAGAGAAGGTGAAGTGTCTTTGTTTTTTTTGTGTGTGTGTGTGTTTTTCTTTTTAGATGAACTGGAAACACTCTCACTGTAGCGGATGATAGTTGCCTGACAGGTTCTTCTTTGTTTCTGAACACACGTCTGTGGTTGTTACCGAAGAACTTGTCCCCGCAGACAAAAGCGGAGCGCCCGGAGGCCACAGATAGGCCCTACAGTCCCTGCCCCCCCCCCCCCCCCTCCACCCCCCCTTCCCTCCTAACATATCCCTAATGAATCTGCCAGGAGATTGGCTCAGCATGGGGCTCAGGACAGGCCCTGGGGGTATTAGAGGACAGGGAGGAGGAGACGTGGGGCTGAGCCGAGAGGAGGACAAGGAGGCGAGCCATTGTGTGGTGTGTAGCTTTTGGGGGGGGGGAGACAGGTTGGGAAAAAATAGCTTCTGGAGGTAGAACAAAAAAAAAAACTGAACTAGTTTAAGCAGGCAGACGGCGTGTATGGATGGAGAAACTGGGCCGGGTAGCTAGGATGTGCTCACCGAGGGCTACGACGGTGTTGAGAAAGTCGAAAGGAAGGGAGGAGAGTACAAATGTCGACACGGGAGAAACTGTGTGATGACAAAAAAGGTGTAGGAGTCCGCGTCAGCCTCTCATCACCGTAAGACCCCGGCAGCGCCATGTCTCAGAGCTTCGCGCGCCGGCTGCGCTCGTGCCTGGTCTCTGGGCTCGTCTGCGCATGCGTGGGCGCCTGCCTCCTCCTCCACTACTGCTCCGTCTGCCAGGTAAGAAGTGGACCGGGCGGGAGGGCTCCGGACGCGGGGTTAGAGGGCCTCCTCCCTCCGGCTCTGGCTGCTCCGCGGAGCCGATGCGAGGCGCAGATTGGTACCCAAATGCGGGTGGCAGGTTTTGGTATTTAAATGCGATGGGATTGATTGATAGCTCTATCTCGCGGCCGTCGGCGTTCAGGATCTTTATCAGACCGCTGTCATGCGGTTAGTCCCGCGGGGCTGTGCGCGCGCGCTCCGCTTTTTTTTTCAAATTGATTTCTTTTGGACGTTGTTGTGGTCGGTGACGTAGAGCGTGAGAGGCCATCACGGCCGTCACGTGAGCAGCAGAGGGGGCGCGCGCTGTGCGCGTTCAGACACTGCTGTCATTCCTGAGATCCAACCCCAGAAATCTCAGAGAGTTTGGCTGTTAAGTGAGTGGAGATGTGATCCTAACTAGCCAATGCATTATTCTTAGTCCGGTTTTGAACAGCTCAACTTCAACTTCCCATTTTAAAAGGACAAAAAAATCTCTTTGAGTCATTCTCCATAGTTTATATTTCTTGTGTGACATTCACTGACCTTACTAAGAAAGTAATATGGCAAAAGGGAGGGAGGCAAAAATAGAGGGGCTTTGGGCCCCGCGTTTTTAATTTTAGTGTATGAAAAGTTTAAATAGGATGGAGAAATGTATGGACGGCGCACATTTTCTGTGTCAGAGCCTGTGGGGAAGCAGGGGGGTGGGGAGGGCCTCATTCTGTTATGTAAAAAGGGAAAACGGAGATGGTTAAGAGCTGACTGTGTGGGGTGAAACCTTACCTCAGCGTTGGGAACCCGAGTGGGAGGCAGACGCTGTGAGGGGCGGCAGATGAGACACAAAGGCCGTTTCACCGATTGAGAACCGTGTTTTTTTTTGCCAATGCGTCTCATAACTAAGGAGGCCCGGCACATCTCAGCTGTCAGCGTGAAGCCGTGGGGGGGGAGACGGGAAGTGGAGGAGGACAGGCTGGAAGTCGGGTGTCCGGCTCACCTTTCTCTCATGTCGCCCAGCCACGGTGACTTTCAATTTTTTTGCTGAGGTCCACTTATGAGGGCCCGATGGAAAGCAGCTGAACTGTGAGATGTGACGGTTGGTGGTGAAAACAAGCCACACATCTTGTTCCTGTAGGGTTTGTATTTACTATACAAAACGATAAAACCCCAGCAGGGTGTTTTTTTTTTTGCCTGAGGTCACCTTAATGCTGATTTGAATCTGTATATGTAATAACAGTGCGTTGTGCAGCAGGTAGGAAATGACACCGTCATCCGTTTCCCTCGTATAATATTTGGCCCTAGACATTTTACAAATAAAACACAGGGGAGGTCTCGGACAAACCTTTATTTCTTATTTTTTTTAGCTTTATATTAGAAGCCTTACTGGAAAACATCAGGGCTAAAGACCAGACCCTAAAAAAAAAATTAAATAAAGTGGACATGTCTTCAGCATCGTTTCAACACCCCAGTGCGTTCTTTGCCTCCCGCTGCAGGACGGGGACATGTGGCCTGTGGTTTGATCAGCCAAACATGTCAACACAGGAAAGAGGAATTTCTGTCATGTTGCAAGTGCAAGCCTTTCCGCTGCGTACGTCACACTAAAAGTGTACATCGTGTATCTCGACTAGGCCGGGGTCATGTTGGGGGTCAGGTGTGGCAGAAAGCTGTCTCCGTCACTCTCTGCCTCCCGTTGGATATCCTGATGCTGACTGGACTGAGATGAGCGGAGAACTGCTGCGGATGGGAACGTGTTCTCCCAATCTTTTTTTTCTTTTTAAAGGTTCAAGTCTGATCTGTGTAATTTACAACCACACAATTCTAATGAACTCAACACCAGCGCACAACTTTATTAGTATTGTATTTGTACTCGGAAATGGACTGAAAACGGATCTCTGGACCGGGTTTTGTCAGGTCTCTAAGTACTCTTAGAGAGCCCTTTTCTTTTTCTGAGGCAGACATGCGCACGTTTCCCGTGTGGTGCGTTTGTATGCGTTGTGCGTTACGGCTGCATTAGTTAAACACGGTTTCATCGGGCCAGCTGGGGAAAGAATGCAGAGCAGCCAGCGCAGCGACTATTCAGAGTCATAAAGAGATCTGTTTTACGATTATTGCCTCTTGTCCCAGCTTTTTTACAGCCATGTTAACCTCTCCTGCCTCACACTTTTTTATTGATTTATTTTAATCGGCTCAGTATCTGTTGAGAATCTAACTACATGCCGTGTGTGTGACCGTTGTCTGAACAAGTCCCGAGGTGGAACGGACGTGGTGCCGCACTCAAATCGGCCCCCCTGCTAGCTGCCCCCCCCCCCCCCCCACACACACACACACACACACCACCACCCCTGCTGTGATTTCCCACACACGCAGGTTCTAATCAGCCCTTCTCAAGCTGTCTGACGCAAACGGCTTGAGAAGAACCACACGTTGTTTCTCAACGCAAATACCCGTAACACTCCCTTACGCGCACACACACGCGCACACACACACTTTCAGACAGTAGGGTTCTGTTTTACGACACCACAGTGGTGCCTTTGGTAAATGTTTTATGAATGGGCTTTGTCATGTATGCTCTGCACCTGGCCTTTGCTAAAGGGGAGGGTCCGTCCAATGTCTGCTGGTGTGTGTGTGTGTGTGTGTGTGCGCGCATAGCACGCAGAGCGGGGTGTGTGTTTTCCCTTTAATGAATAATCATTCCTTTGGCCTGCGTTTGGCTTGGAGCCGCAGAGAAAAACCTGCACACTGATCTGTTTTCGGATTTGTCCTCGGGGCGACAACCCGCACCTTTTCCTAACCGGAGGATGGAACTTCTTGTTTTTCTTCTTCCAGAATAAGCCCTGGCAGAAGTTGAAGACCATGGTTCACTGGTCGCCTTTCGTCGTGTCCTTCAAGAAGCGCTACCCCTGGGTGCAGCTAGCCGGCCACGCAGGTACGTGTGCAGATCGCCTTGCTTCTCGAGAAACGGGAGATAAGAGCGATACCGCAAAGTTTCTGTCGAACGAATGAAAGCTAGGCGTCAAGTTCAGCTCATAACAAAGACTGAAACCTGAGTACCTGTGAGCAGGTAACCAAATCTGCCTGCCAAAACGCTGACTGACGTTTGACCCTTGCCCCCAAAACGCACTGCTTTCATTTTGACGGCATCGGGCTTTTGACACCTGACTTTTTAATTGGAGCTGGTTAGAATTCTTGAATATCGAAGTAGTGAGAACGCGGTTTTGATCCCCCACTCTGCCCCCCTCGAAGGTAACTTCCAGGCCGGAGAGTACGGGCGCCTGCTGAAGCGCTACTGCGAGTGCGAGCAGCAGTGCCTGCAGAAGCTGATGAGGGACGCGCTGCGGCCCTACGTGCCCGGCTACTACGGCGTGGTGCAGAAGGACCAGCAGGACTACAACCTGATGGACGACCTGCTGGCCGAGTTCGACTCGCCCTCCATCATGGACTGCAAGATGGGCAGCAGGTACGCTTTGCTTGGACGTAACGTATCGTTTGGACGGAGCAGAGCCCACGGCCTTCTCTTTTTTAGAGTTAGCAAAAACATTCACGGGACGAGTGGAGCGAGAATCGAAATAACCAGATATTGACACGCGTCACGCGTAAAAAGGAGATATGGAGAATCAAAGTGGAGGAGGGGGAAAAAAAGGTCAGACAATGGAAGATAGATTAGAAGCTCTAAATAATAAATATTTACATTTCAGGACTTACTTGGAGGACGAGCTGATGAAAGCCAGAGAGCGTCCCCGGATGCGAAAGGACATGTATGAGAAGATGGTGGCGGTGGACCCCGAAGCCCCCACCGAGGAGGAGCGGGCTCAGCAGGGGGTCCTCAAACCCAGATACATGCAGTGGAGGGAGACGCTCAGCTCCACCGCCACCCTGGGCTTTCGTATCGAAGGCATTAAGGTCAGAGGTCACCCCTCATCATCCGGCGTTATTTACATGCCTGGCTCCGGCGCTCCGCGTTGCTCGGGAGAATAAACAGTACAGCATGTTCCTACAAGAAGTAAACCAACCAGTCGGAGTGTGTACTTATTAGGCAAGAGGGAACCGCACAAGACAGGAGGGAATGGAAACAGAAATGAAAAGATTTTTTTTTTTTAACCTGCGGCCATTAAGGCGTCTAATTGTTCTTTAGAAATCCAGGTCTGGTTATCGGAATATGAAAATATTCTATTTGCATGCAGCTCAAACACAAATGAAAATATCTGATGTCACCTTGTAGGTATTTAGAGCTGTGTGTTTAGTTTCCAGTCCAGTAAGTCTATGCAGCTATGTTTTTTTTTAAAGTTTCCATCCATGCAATTTTCATTCCGACTGTTCAAAAGTCTGCTCTAAAAATAATTCTATGGGAAGGAAGTACACGATATACACCCTCTTATTAGCTTTCTTTTTTGTGACATTAGAAAGCTGATGGGACCTGTAATACCAGCTTCAAGAAGACGAAGCACAAAGAGCAAGTGATGCAGGCCCTGAAGGATTTCGTGGATGGCAACGCTCAGATTCTGGTATGTTCCCAGACATTTGACAGTTTGACGTTTAGGAAATCGGTTTTACTGCTTCCTTCCCAATAGTGAAATGAGGAGGTACTTATGAAGCTACCACTGTGTTAGTTAGTTTATAATAAACACTGGAAAGAAAAGGAAGCAGCACGCCTGGAAAACCAGAGGCAGTAAAATATATTTGCCACAAACTCTTGTTTACTGAGGCACTAATCACATCTCTGACCCTGAAATGGTTTGAACCTATTGAAGAAATAATAGCGTTCATTCACGAGCTTTTGTGGTGCATTTTGTTACTTATTTGTCGTGTTATTACCAAGTAGATATGTTACTTTTCAACAGAGCCAGCCTAACTGTTGCCCCAGTTTCCACTCTTTACTGTAATCAAAGTTCACTGGTGGCTGCCGCATGTTTGCTGTCCAAAAATCAATCGTTTGAATGTGTTGAGCTGAGGAATGCGAGGCTTTGGACTCGGTGTAATGGGACAGAGGAACAAAAAGTTTATCTCTGAACAGTTTTGCAACTCGGCCCGTGTCTGCGGTGGCTGTGTAACAACTGCTTTGCTTTTTTCCCCTTTTAGAAACTCTACCTGCAGCGGCTGGAGGAGCTGCGCTCCGTCCTCGAGCAGTCACAATTTTTTAGGACGCACGAGGTGAGACGCACGCCGGCTTTACCACCATTCTCAACGGAACGAACAGTCAGAAAACTTGACTTTTTTTTTTCTCTCTCTGGTTTGTCCGCCGCAGGTTGTTGGCAGCTCGCTTTTGTTTGTGCACGACGTTTCTGGAAAGGCCAAAGTGTGGATGATCGACTTTGGGAAGACCGTCCCTCTGCCCGAGCCTCAGACGCTTGACCACAGGACTCCTTGGGTGGAGGGCAACAGGGAGGACGGCTACCTGTGGGGGCTGGACAACCTCATTGAAATCCTCAGCAGTATGCTCCCTCAGACGCCTTGAGAGGAGAACAAAACTTGCATCGGAGAGAACATGAACTTTAAAAAAAAAAAAGGGATGGGATCGATGCCTTTTCGAATCCTTCCCACTGTCTCGAAGAGCCTTGCTGTGACCCAAAAGTCTTAACCCATCACCTGCCTACGCAAATGGGGTAGCAAAAGAAAAGCGTGGCTTCCAACGCAAAGCGGAACATTAAAGGGTTGGCGTTATGTAGAGCTTTGAGCGGGGGTGACGGGAGCTGAGGAGAAAGGTGGCTGAGTCGTGGCTTATTTTTTTGAGAACACGGTCCCCTGAACTGAAGGACTCTTGACAGCATTTTTTCCCCATCATCCCTCTCAACACCTTCCTCCTGTGGTTGGTTTTGCACATAGCAGCCTCCCCATAACCATGAACATGATCTAGAGGAAATCCTTTTTTTTCTCTCTTTTTTACATGGTCCTCGAAAGCATTGGGAAAGTGATTTTTTTTTATTTGACACGGACCACTTCTGATGTTTAAATATTTAGCAACACTAAAACACTGGTCCAGCCACGTGTCCACTAACTGTGTAAATACCACCTAATTTAATCTTTGGGATAACTTCCTTACTTTGTACAATTTTGGTGCCTAGCATTTTTACAGTAGATGTTTTGATCATTCCTTTTTAGTTAACCAAGTACAAACTTACTTCGATTTAATCCCAAAGTTTGGCTTCTACTAGAACCTGTTTTTTTTTCTTTTTTAAGATTTTTCTGATATAATGCAGTGATTTTTTTCTCCTCTGTTTTACTGTACAGTAAGAAGCTTTGCAGCCATGTTTCTTTGGAATTTGTTGCACTATATATCCTCACAAAGCCATTGAACAAAACAAACATTGCCTCTGTGTGTCTTAAAGCTGGGAATTAACAGCACTGGGTTTACAGTTCAACATGAATTCCATTTGGTGATCGATTCTTTCTCTCTATCGCTTTAAGGAGCTTTAAAGTTAACTAGTGGTGTGAACAGTGGAATTAAACTGGATTTATTTAATAAAGCCAATCTGTTTAGGCCTCTAAAGCCCCTCACATGACCCGTGAAACTGGAAAATCTGAATTTAACTTCAGGTTTTGAAGGATTACTCATAACTGAATGCGAGACAAGTGCTTTTAAACAGGAGTATGTTGCTATAAATCATACTTGGCTACACTAAAGTGGAAAGAAATGGGTCCGCATTTGGTATTCGGCTCTGTATACAGAGGAACACTTTTATATTTGGATATCAGGGCAGTGCTTGCGAGCATGTCTGCCATTCCTGTGCTGGGATGTGGCTTTCAGTTAGCACGTCGTGTTCTTTGTCTTCCAAACGTTCCCTGATGGCGTTCCGCCGGTCTGTGCAGGGTTAGGGTTCCAAACAAATTCCTCCTTTGGAGTACAGAAGATGTTTAACTTGGCGAAATTGGAATTTTGATTCAGGAATCCAGATTTTTCATCTCTGAAAAGTAAACGTACCAGGGTAGAGGAATGTTAGTGTTTACAAAGTATTAACTCCTTTCCCACAAATTCTTTATATTTGTAATGTGACAGGCCCTCGGTTTGTGGAACTGGGTGCTGCTTTCAGAGAAAGGGAACCGATATGAACTGAGTTTTGTATTTTAAAAGGCAGTGCGTTTTTACTGTTGCAAAACATAAGACAGAGTGGTGGAACCTTAATGAATCCTGGTGAATTGCAATAAACTGGAATAAAAAAAAACAACTTATTTTTTCTTTTTTTCCTTCTTCAAACTCTCATGTCCACACATTTAAATGTCCATTTTTTTTGCACAACAATGGCCTAACATTGAAACCCTGATCTTCACACATATAAGCGTCAGTCCTCCTGCCGCGTCAGCGTCCTGGTGTGGAGCAGCACCACCTGTCCGGCCAGCCCCGCCTCCATCCCTCCTTCGGGAACCACATAGCGAGTCCCATCATTGGCTCTCTGAGGGTCCATCGTCCTGAGCTGCTCGTTGCTCTGGGCGACGGCGTCCAGACTCCACAGCTGATAGCGGAGGCTTTTGCCCTGCTTTGCCAGGATGTAGACCTCTCGGACCGCGGTGCTGCCGATGGGGGGTGGAGGGCAGCCGTCGGGGGCGAGGCAGAGCCAGGGCAGAGTGGCATCGGGCTGAGCGTGCTCGGGGCTCACGCTGCCCGGGTCCAAACCCAGGAGGACACCTGCAATTCACAAATGGAACTGGGTAACAATGTTTTTCAATGTAAAGAGTCATTAAGATCCCTCCATTTTCTGAACCGCTCATTCCCAAATGGGGTCGTGGGGAATAATTAGGGGAATTTCTGTGCGTTGTTACTACATAAGCCATTTAAAATAACTAAATGGCTGTATCAATTCTAAAAACAGAGTGAGAGTAAATCATCTAAAAAGTAAAAAGAAATTAATAACAGCACCATAAAATGACACGGAGGGCATGAGTGTTTATTAGGGAGGCCCTAAATAGCCATCTTAACCTGGCTGTCACATAAGCATCCTGACAGACTTGTAGTGAAGCAGGCCCAAACCATGATGCTACCACTACCGGGTCTTCAAAATTCACTGGGGTTTGCTAATATTTCCATTTTAAGTGTAAATCCTTCAGGCTAACATTTGGAAAAGGTCTACCTCCTTAGTTTTGTTTGTTGGGTTCAGGTTGGTTTCTAACTGGAGCGTTTTACATCCCACAACTGAACTGCTATTCTTAATATGACCCTTCTCTTTTGTGACAAGTTACCCAGTGCGCGAATCCTGGGTTACGCTTGAATATTTCAATGAAATAATTAAAATATTCAACTGATCTACTCTTGTGAAACGTAGCGATCCAGGATCAGTTGGGTTTACTAAAGACACACTGAGCCCAACTTTTCTGAACCAGCTTTAGAAGCCTCCAGCCGGCCCTGGTCTTACCTGAAGCTACGGCCCAGTGCGCTCTGTGTCCACCACGCTGACACGGCTCATGGTTGCAATCCTCATCATACCTGATGGTGTCGTCAAGGAAGGCTAAACAGCGACCTGAAGCTTCTTTTAATCACGCACGTAGCACAATATAAGTCATCTCCAAACACAGTCTGTTCCCTCGCAGCGCCTCCTTCTGACCGATTTGCAGAGGTGCAGGATACGGGATGAGAACCGGCTGTCCTCCCCACAGGTGACCAACCATGGTCGTGCCATTCTCACCGGTCAGTCCTCCTGACAACAGTTCAGCCTTACAGCCACACACCTCTTCTGCCAGCAGGGCCATGTTACTGGCTGGTTCCAACAACACGCACAAAACAAAACGCTTTAAACCAGACGCGGGAAAGTGGCTAGTTAACTGAGAAACTTTTCCAAATCTAAATTACACTCGCTTCAACCCATTCCCACACTTCTGTTACCTGAAAACATTTCTCCCTGAGCGGTGTATCCCCTGCTTGTTGCCGTGTCAACGACAGCCTCCATGTCCACGCTCGGCTCCGGCCGCTGGAGCTGAGCAGCCATCCACAAAGCCACCAAACCACACCTGAAACATGAACACACCCTCAGTCGCATTTTACCATACAATAATCCAATATTCTGAAGTAGTGTTAGTTTTATCCATAAAATGAAGGTCAAAGGATTGCTCGACTCACTGTGGACCATTTTGGATGAGAGAAGGCACATATTTGTTAGCCAGTATCCACTGCAGGTCCTTCCTGAAACTGAACAAAGATAAAACACGGCATAATATCATTTTTCCATTAAAAGGATTCTCTCATAACAAGTATTCCAAACACTTTTGACAATGTAATTCAGGCTTTCCTCCCTATTTAAGATATTACTCACAAATAACTGTTTAACTTAACTATAAACAACTCTTCCTGTTTAAACTCATCTGTGTCAGGGATACGTTCATTCAGCTTTAATTCAGCATAAAGTATTTTGGGCTAAAGACTGTAACAGAGGTACACAGGAGGAGGTCATCCATCCATTTCTGAAGACCTAATCATGTGGGTCACTCAGATCTACTCTCACCTGCTTTCCCTGCGGCTGATCAGCGTGCACGCCTCCGTGTAATCCCCCTCCACGGGACTCCTGCTGCTGGCTATGGTCTGGTACAACTTCTTCTTTGGTGCTGAGGTTGGGGGAGGTGAACAAGGACCTGCTGGAGGTGGGAGCGGAGGAGGTGGGGGAGGCGGTGACAGTGGAAAGTCCACAGACATTCTCTCTGAGCCCCCAAGGCTGCCAAAAGCGATTCTGTTAGATTCTGCCCATCTCGTGAAAACGCACATGAGAGAAAAACACCAGGCCTGGACAAGCACCTGGCCACCTCCCGCTCCTTACAACATAGCTCTTAATCTAAAAGGAGCAAACGGCGCAAACAATATTGCTATTATCGAAACTTGCTCGAACTTAAACCTAAGACCTCAACTTAATTTTTAGTAAAAGTTAAGTTGGCAAAAAATGACTGTCCTATTATTTCGAGAGAGCCACTCGTACGGTATTTCACACCAATCAAGTTTTGCACAACATGCTAAAGAAGGAAGGAACTGGCTGATGCCGGTGCTGTGCCCATATTTGGAAGTAGGCCCTTGCCGTGCTTCCTTTTCTTCTTCTTCGTTTATTTCTTCAATATGACCTATAAAGACATTTGGCGACCTCCAGCGATGGAGGTCTGTCTCTTGTTGTTGTGCCACCCTCATTGACAATAAAATAATTATGTGGTGTTATCCTGCCAAATATTTTTTATCATATTCTATTCGATAATAATCAACCAAAACACCAAAAGAAAACTGGCAGAAATTAGTTCGTCGGACCAAAACAAACAAACTGTTACACCGGAAATTACGTCTGCACAGTCTGTTAACGCGAGAACAGAAAACGGGATATGTGAAAGCAGTGAATTCCATTCATCGTTCCGGGAGTGTTCACATTGAAACATTTGAACGGTAATGAGTATGATATTCAATGTATTGATGAAGCAAATATTCGATCATTTTATCGTAGAATTTAATATTAGAAACAAAACGTGAACGTTAAACAGTTTTATTGTGAGTATTTCAGCTCACTCATAGCAAGAATTAGCCTCCATGCTAATCGTCACCTCATGCAGGACGACTATGTGCTATCGCTAGTTAGCCGCTCAGTTGTGAATTACTGTATAGTTAAAACTTAAAGCTGAAATTAAAGTATTCTCTCTTCCAGTTTTCAACTGTAGAGTAACATGGCAACTACAGATGTGAGACTCAACCATACAATATACATCAACAACTTGAATGAGAAAATCAAGAAAGATGGTACGTTTCGGTCCCTTGTTTTCTGTTGTATTCATTACCTACAGAACGATTCTCCTAAAATTATCTCTCTTTTTGTCTTTATGCTAGAACTGAAAAAGTCGCTGTACGCTATCTTTTCACAATTCGGACAAATTTTGGACATCTTGGTGGCGCGAAATTTAAAAATGAAGGGCCAGGCCTTTGTTATATTCAAGGAGATCAACAGCGCCTCCAATGCCCTGAGATCCATGCAGGGCTTCCCCTTCTATGACAAACCTATGGTAGGTTAATTAAGTCTACATGAAATTGCAAGTTTCTGCCCAGTTAATCTGATGGGTGCATTGTGATGCTTTTGTCCTTAACATGTAACTGGCAACATGTGTTGCAGCGTATTCAGTATGCTAAATCAGACTCAGACATCATTGCTAAAATGAAGGGGACCTATGTGGAACGTGACCGTAAAAAGGAGAAGAGGAGGCCCAAAGCCGAAGGAGCAGGGTCCAAGAAAGGTGTGGCAGCAATGGTGGCTGGGGTGCCTTCTGCCATACCTGTAAGTGGAGCTAAAGCTGTTTTAGTAAGAACAGAATGTCAAATGAACAGAATGACTAAAGGTCTAAGCTTCCCATTTACATCCTGCTCTTTTTAGGGAATGCCTCCCATGAGCCAGGCTCCCCGCATGATGCACATTCCAGGCCAGCCGCCCTACATGCCTCCTCCAGGCATGATGCCTCCTCCAGGAATGGCTCCTGGTCAGATACCCCCAGGCGCCATTCCCCCGGGCCAGATGATGCACGGACAGATGCCTGGACAAATGCCACAACAGGTACTTTTGTTTGTGATGAGCCACATTAAGAAAAAAATAATTTAAAGCTGGATTCTAATGCCCTGAATGCTTCCACAGATTGCAGAAAATCCTCCCAATCACATCCTCTTCCTCACCAACCTGCCGGAGGAGACGAACGAACTCATGCTCTCCATGCTTTTCAACCAGTCAGTAGGATTTCATTCTTGGCATGATTGTGTTTTTGCGGTGTTCCTCTGCTGGAGGCTGAAAGTGTCTTGTTTTATCTTCAGGTTCCCTGGCTTCAAAGAGGTGCGCCTGGTCCCTGGTCGCCACGACATCGCCTTTGTGGAGTTTGACAACGAGGTGCAGGCTGGCGCTGCGCGGGATGCACTACAAGGCTTCAAGATCACACAAACAAATGCTATGAAGATATCATTTGCTAAAAAATGAGACCCCTCTTCACACAGGTTCCTATCTCTCCTTTTTTCCTCCTCACTTTTAAAAAATGTAAATTGCTGAGATGAAGTCGATTCTGGTTTTAAACTTGCTGATTTATGATCAGTGCTATATTCTTTTCTTCCCGGATTACATGTAAGTATGCATTCTTTGTGTCAAGTTGCTGTATTATCTTTTTACAGAATTTTGAAAATATTGGCTAAAAAAATCTGGATCATATTGATACAACTAAAACTAATTTTGGAAATTATTTTTGGCTTTATTCTCAAATTTATAAGCAACTTGACCTGTTTTCCTTTTTTTCTTTGTCTTTTTATTTCTATAAAGCATTGCACCCAGAGTCTGGTCCCCAGACATTGTACCTGGCGCTTTATCTCTTTTAATAAAATGTTTTTATTTAATACAACATTATACTCCTCTTCTTCTTGGTTGTTTCAATGTAAGTTTCTGTTTGGCCAGCAGATGGTGCTATAAACCTCTAACTATATTTGATTGTAGGTACAACACAGGTTAACTTTACCAGTTCATAAGAGATATTAAGTGATGCTCAGTTACCTAAAGAAAAGTGTTTTTGAGGGACATCTGCTTTCATTTCCAATTTGACTTTACAGGTTTCTGGAACATGCACACGGTGCCAAGGGCAAGAAACAGAGATTTGATCAGAATAACATGCCACCATACAATTTAAATGTCCCCTTATGGTCAGACAAATGGTTGTTTTTTTTTCTTTTTTCTGGTGTCGAGTAAACATGGTGGCTGTTGAAGTTGTCTGACAAAGAACTGTATATACAAACATTTTCTCAGAAAGATTGCAAGCCATCTTGTATACACAAAGTTAAGTTATTTGAAAATTTTATTTTCTGCTCATTGAAACAAAGGGAACAGTTCCAGGGTCTTCATATCTGTTGTGGTTTTCACTCTGATGCATGCAGTTTATTCTTCTGCACAGAAATGCTCCTCTCGGCATGCTGATTATCTACAGTAGGTTAGAGGACTAATTACATACCAATAAGGACCACCTCCTCATCTAAAACTCTGGCTTTATGAGACTCGGACGGATTGACGTGTGAATTTGGCCTGAAAGGTTTAATTTTGACTGGCACCATCCACTGTGCCCAGTGCACACAGGGCCTCCCTGTTGTCGACTTAAACTGCGCCCCGAGTAATTGTCCTCAGGTCAGCCCGAAGAGGTACATAAAAATTCACATTCTTCTGCAGTTTCCCAAGCCTTTCCACACTCCCTTATTTGCCTTGAGAAAGCTCTGACCTTAGCCACCAGGCTGCCGTGCACACACGCGCATGTGAGCGAGGCTCCAGCCTGCTGCCCTCCTCTCCACCAAAAATTGCAGTCTGTATTTTGTCGGGACTGAAATGGAGTTTACGGCCATTGTATTTGTTGCAAAACTTGTGCGACTAAAACTCAAACACTTTGAATTTCTGAGAAAAAAAAATGAGTGGAGTGTTTTTTTTTTTCATGTTCTTGAGTGAGTTAAACTGAATCAAACCACATGTAGCAAATTCTAACATGCTTAAATATTTAAGACTTCCTGTGATGATCTAGATTTTATTTGCAGTTGTACACAAGCACTTGTATCATAAGCAGTCTTTGTTGCTGGTCTGCATGACCTCTTAGTTTCAGAGCTGAAGAATCCTAAATGAGCATACAACATATTTTCTGTCATAAATAAACTAAAAACAATTGACCATTTAAATGGGTTTGAAAGCTTCAGTCAAAACGTGCGTTTCCAACTTTGTGGGTCGTTTTAAAATGGACAAAGTAACATTGTTCCATCTTAAAATCCCGCATGAAGGACTATGTCGCCATTAGATGGAGCCAAACGTACAAATTGGAAGATCGATCTGGTGAAGTGAATACGCGCTGAATATTTATGGTGGATGCTTCCACAGGTACGCTGCGCAGAGCAGCCCATAAAAATACCAACAAAAAGGGGCCGTTTCCGGATGGTTTGTTTGAATTCTAGCCATGTTTGGAGGTCACTGCTCCTCTTATGCAAATCAGCGCGCGGCCCCTGAAGAGCCCTCTGTTCCAGTCCGGGGTCAGCGAGGCGCGCAGAGCCGCGGAAACGCCAGCGGTTGTCAGGGAAGCTCTGGAGCAACAAGCTCGCGAAAGACCTTAAGATAGAAAAAAAAAAAAGGAGGGAGGCTGAATCTCATTAGATTCCCACCGATAAAGTAGGCACATTGTGTGGAAGTCTTGGGGCCGGATAGGACGTTCACTGGAGGGCAGAAGTGGAAAATATGCCATGTGACCGTGCCAGTATTCAAGAGATGCCTACACGCCCTACAAGGATCTTATACGTCTGTGCTCCACCGACAGCTGCACACAGCTGCTGCAGCTGTTGGAACCAGCTGAATCACAAAAGTCGATTCATTATGACTAAGACTTAAACGTTTGAGAGCTGAAGTCGTTGCGCCAGACGCACGAATAACTTTTAAGAGAAAACGCCTCGCAAAGCTCCTGCAAGCATTCCCACGTTTGCTTCCCAGTTTTAGCGACAGGGCTGTTTCATTTTAGAGGAAATCAGCCCGAAAGACCCTCCTTTTCGGGGGTCCACCTGAACCGGGACAGAGCTGTGAAAAGTGGTAACAGGGGAGGGGGAAACCAGAGCCGGGAAGCCAACGATATGTTTTAGAAGGCATCAAAGAAACTCAAACCCACGCGTGATAATCTGCACAAACCACTTTCATTGCGATACCAATGAGTAATGGTGACCAAATGAGAAGTTGCGTTGCGCTCCAGCATGTGGATGACAGCGCCAGCGCCCCGGGAGCCATCCGGAGAGGAGCAGAAAGACGGATATTCCCTGCCTCAGGACAGCAGGACACACCCTCCACGCTCCCTTTCTCTCTGTCATTGTTTCCCCACGCAGGCTTCGTTTCGAGTTGACTCATGACCAGCCAGCCGCTCCACGATAAGAGCGCGGATTCAAGTCATCCCACCGGAGCAACTTTTAGTCCACGCGCTTGTTGGATAGCCTGATAGTATCACATCTGTATGTTTTTTTATTTATTATCACGATTTCATCCGTTCTGTCAAACGGGGATCAAGCGTGAAGAAATAGATGAAGAGAGAGTGTCCTCTAATTGGGATGAGAGTTCAAGTCAAGTGAGCCGGCAGATTGGACGCGTAAAGCCTCTTAACGCAGGTGGTAGCAGGAATAAAGCTCAAGGGGGAGTGTGTTTGTATGAGGTGTCTGGGTCTTTATGCGTGTCCAATCCTGGACCTGGACCCTGGGCACTGAGGCAAAAGGGGGGCGATCAGGTGTGCGCGTCGGTGGGGATTCGCAGTGAGGGCGTATAGATGGTCACGGTTTCTGTGGGCGTGATGAAGTTGCTCTGCGGGAGTTTTAGGGTTTAAGTCCGGAGAGAATGAGAAGAGCCGTGCGGACAGAGGACGCAGGAAGGGAGGAGGAAGAGGAGGAGGAGGAGGGGTACCATCACCACCGGCGCGCGCGGCACGGTCTCCAATCCCCTCGCGCAGGGATGGAGAGCACAAGAGCGCACAGGACAGCTGGGTTGGATCCCGAAAGCCGGGGCGGAAAGAGCACCGGGAAGCCAGACATGAGGGCTGAGCGGCGCGGGGGAAACCTCCACCTGCAGCGGACTATGATTTTTCTCATGGCGCTAACGATACAACCACAGGTAAGCCAACGATTACGTGCTATTTAGGGCCCCTTAAACCCCCGAGGCTGACCCGCAACTTTGGTTTAGTCTGTATTTTAAATAACAGCTGCGTAAAAAATAGCCATTGGGCTAATGAAGTCCACGCACAGCGCGTCTTTCCCCTTTTGTGCTGCCCTCATTCTGCTGCTACATGGCGCTGTGCCCACCTGTTGTTTCAGCCTGCTGGTGTCTTTAAACCCACGCAACAGAGACCGACTCTAATCCCAGTTGAGAAGAAAGGGATTCAAAGATCCTATAGTAAAAACTGCAATGGATAACGAAAATATATGGAGCCTATATGTATTTTTGTTTGTGAAAAAGGCACTGTCAATGTTTGCCAAACAAAGAGAAAAGAGAAGGGAGCCTTCAATAGTTGTAGAATTCCGCATCTGGAAACAGTTGATTTTGTGATATCAGAGCTAGACAAATGTATAAATCGTTTTTTTTTTTTTTAGAAAGTAGTTGGCAGAATCCCCACTTGGGGTGTAGATGACATGAATTACCCAGCACACTTCCTCTGCCCTGCCTCCATTCCTTTGCTCTGGTTCATGAAGGAATCATTTTTTGGATCATTTTTAGCACATTTGCCTGCTGGTGCATTGTATAATTTTACAAAAACCTGTTCATTTTCAGTCACGTCGTGTTTCCTCCGGCCTTATCGGTGCTTTTTTCTCCACCCTGCTCACTCATTACAGCAAATCCATGGCAGCCTTGTCCTTCCACTTTGTGTCGTCTGGGCTGACATGATGATTGTGATGGGAGGCAGGACTCATTGGTATAAAAGCACATCCAGAGGGGGGGGGGTCTTCAGTGCATGTGTGTGTGTGTGTGTGTGTGTGTGTGTGTGTGTGTGTGTGAAGGTATCTTCCAAACAGTGAGATCACCAGCAGCATCTGTGTCTGGGTGTGTGGGGAGCAGGAGGCCACAGGCCAATAAACTCTGGGGCGTGTGAATGCTGAACACCGGGGCAGGTTTTCACCCCTGCTACCCCTTCAGCTGTGGAACAACACGCCGTCCTCCTGCCGTTAACCTGGCTGCACATGCTGCCTGAAACCCGGTCAGAATCCTCCGCGGCTGCTGCTGATAGAGGGGGTTTCTAATTCTGGAGCCTCTATGCTGCCTGCAGCCCAGCCGGATGTTTCCAGGCTCACACTGCAGTGGAAGACCTTCACCACTGTGTCATTCTCTAAAAGTAATGAGTATCTCAGACATGTTTAACAGAATTTAACATTCAAAGCGAAAAAAGAAATTCAAGATCAGACTAAAAAACAACCAAAAAAATCATCAGCGATAAATGAATTTACTGAGAAATGACCCAGATTAACTTCAAATTTGAGATTATTGTGGATTTATATCCCAACACTTTTCATTCAAATGAACATGTATATTTTCAGGTTATAGATCAGAAATATATAGAAAATCTATATATTTAAAAGACTGAAATCAAGAGTGAATTATCCCCAAAATCTTAATTAAATATCAGTGATGACACAATGCCACAGAAAGTAGGCTGTACAGCACTTACTGACATCAATGGTGATGGAATAGTAAAGGATGCATGAATAAAGTCCTATTTCCAAAGACCTTTGTCAGAAATATTATGATTATGACATATTTGAGCAGGAACAAATTTGTAATTTTGGAAAAACTGCATATCCCTTTTTCTGGCCATTTTGTATAAACGCGGACCACAGATGAAAAATCTAAACTTTGCTCTTTGTTAAGGAATAAAAATGACCGTCAGACTGTGGATTATAGTTCTCAGACAGGTAGACATCTTCTTTGTGTCTCCTCTGTATTGAATCCTTAACCAGTGTTGAGTTACTGATCCTTGAATGCCGGCTTTTTCGGGAGCCGTGGATGTGGTGTGTGGCAGCTCCAGTTTTGACTTTAGTGAGCCGTTAATTGCTGAAGCTCCCCTGCAGAGAGAGACGTTCTTGGCCTCGGCGCGGATCTCTCTCTGTCTCTGCTCTGACTGAGCGCTGAAACGCTGGAATGCAGGGAATGGCTCGGGCGGCGAGCGGGAGAGAGGAAGAAAGGAGGATGCAGAGTGATGAGCGCCACTGTATCTCCACAAGCCTTTTGATGTAGACAAGTTCATCCCCCCCTCCTGCCACCACCCCGACCCCTCGGCTCAGGGACAGGGTGCAGTGGAGGGGCAGGCCCCCAGAAACAATGGCTTGTCTTAGATTTTGGCGTGTAAGACTTCGCTGGTCTCCACCATTTCTCCCCGTGATTGAGTGCGTAACACCTCTGTGGAGACACCGCTCCGATTCTTTAAGTAATTGAGCAGTCATTAGTTTGATGTTTTAAGAATTCATCCGTTGCGACTCTCCTGCTCGGAGTAATTAATCAGCCGGGGTTTCCTCAAGCTGAGATGACAGTGGCTTCATTTTTTTTTTTGGTTTGCCGTGCGAAGAAAAAGAAAAAGAGGAGAGGAGAAGACACTCACACATACATGCATGCGGGCTCATGGCCGACCCCGGTGCTCCCAGCCTCTCAGGAGGTCTTATTAACTCCTGTGTGTGTGTGGAAGACATTGTGTGTGTGTGTGTGTGTGTGTGTGTGTGTGTGTCCCCTGAACATCCATAAACAGGGAGGGAGCGGCCAGAAGAAAAAAAAAAGATGAAAAGGAGGATGGAAACAATGCAGAAGAGCCGATGGCCACAGACAGAGAAATGACAGGAGTGACACAACTTGTTCCCACACAGAGAAAGAAGTTGGGGGGGGAGGGGGTGAGGAGAATTTCCAAATCCCCTGGGAGGACGGGTTGAGGAATAAGAAGGGAGTGGTGGTGACACAGGAAAGACAGAGAAGAACAAAAGGAAACCAATCCAACTGAGAGAAGTTCAACCATAAACACTTAGGTTATTATTTGTCAGAGTTGTTGGTGCGTGTAACCCTGTTTTCCCCCCCACAGATGTAGGAATCACAGCTATACACTCTTTTTCCTACTTTATTTTTCTTGTTTGCTGTCTTAGACTTTTCGTAACATGTTGATTGACAGATCATGCAGAGGAGACAGTGAAACAACACATTGTCTTATTTTCATCTGTCCAACCCACTGAATGTATGAAGTCACTCAGATCATCAGCAGCATGAGGGAGCTCTTAAAAAAATAATCAGATTTGACTTTTTCTCCAAAGTGACAGACTGTTAATTGAAAATGACTTCCTGTCATTTTTTCGGCGTTGATGTCAAAGACAATGAAATTTTGATTGAATCAATTATTATTATTTCTGAGGGCCAGGTAAGTCCCCTTCATCTCACAGCCAAATCAAAGGTAGTTATCTTTCTCAGTTGTGCTAATTCAATAATGAAAGCAAAAAAAAAAATTGTATTCATTTTTTCAAATTTGATTTTGCTTGGTAGAACTGGTTGCCTTGGAGATCTACAAAAGAAATGGAAAAGGAGTTTTATGGCATTTGTTTACGCTATGAAAGGGTCAGAAGATTTTCAGCTTGATTAAATTTTGTACTGTCTGAGGGCACAGAGTCTCACAATTAAAATATTGTGAGCTATTTCAATGTTTGGAGCAAAAATAGAAGCAGCAGCATTCCCTAAGTGATAAGAGGGTGTACACAGCAAATCGCATCTGTTGAAGCACATGTTTGACATGTGCTTTACGCTGTTTTTACTTTGCATCTCAAGTGCTTTTTGTAAAACAAAAAAAGCAGATGGTGTGAAAAAAGTGATGAAAGGTTACTTAATTTGCATGGAGTATTGCTACAGGCAAGCATAGTTATTAAGTCTCCTACAGAACTTCTTTCTTTAAGGACAAATGGCTTCTCATTTGTTGTTGGTCGCATATTCACTGTATTCTTTAAGTCCAACTAAAATGGCCTACACATTACCTCCATCTGTTCAGTAAAGGCCCGTTTCTGTACACGCTGGTGAGAATGTGCACGGTGTTAATGTGTCCGTTTGATAACAGATGGGGATTTCTGCTCTCCTCTCTCCTGACTCAGACTGTGTGCGCGGTGGGGATGTTTGAACTTCAGATCCGTCACTTCCAGAACCCAGATGGACTCCTTCAGTCTGGAGACTGCTGTGACGCGCAGACCAGCGGGGGACAGCGCTGCTCTGCCAGGGACCAGTGTGACACTTTCTTCCAAGCATGTCTCAAGGAATATCAGGCCCGCGTGGCCCCGACTGGAGCCTGCACTTTCGGCTCGGGGAGCACGGACATCCTGGGTGGAAACTCCCAGTTGCTCCACCACCGAGGACACGACAGGGGAAGAGGAGAGGACCGCGCAAATATACACATCGCTATTCCCTTCAAATACGCCTGGCCAGTAAGTACTGGGGGATGTGCTAGTTACCAGTATGGTTACCAAGGGAACAGGTTAAGCTTCAAGTACAATACAATGCACTCAACCGAGGCTAGATTAAAATGATAACCTTCGCAGGCAGAGATCTGCCTCCTTTATATCTTTCTGCATCACTAAAAGCAAAACATACAACATTCTGAAAGCCAATTTCTTTTTTACAGATACTGTACTGCTAATGGTTGATTTGATTTTAGAAAGTGAAATATTGCATGTTTAATTATTAGTAGTGGATCTTTTCTTCATTCAGAATGAAAAGAAAAGTGCTTCTCAAATCATAAATTCATTGTTATTGGACAAAACTGTGGTCTTTTTAAAATAATCTTTAATAATCACTGTCGCAAGATTACCGGTGCTGATCCATTTTTCCAATTAAATTAATTTAAAATAGCTGAAAAATCACGGAATCCTCAGATGAAAGCTAATGGTTTAGAAAACTCTGCTCCAAGCCCAAACCTTCCTATGCACATATCTGATCTCAGTTATGAATATTGCATGTTACTAGCAAATTTTTGTGAGCCAAAGTCAAACAGTGAAAATGGTAAACTTCATCATTTTGGCATGATGATAGGGAGCGTTTTTTATTTAGCATGCTAATCGTAGCTTTTGGCTGAAAGCACCAGTGGGGCTCCGTGTGCTGCAGTCTTACGTCGACCAGAAAGCCTTTACTTTTGTAAAATTGCAGCTCTTCACCAGGTTTCCAGTTCACTTTGTACTTTGATGCCGGTTTTGTCAAGCTCAGCCAAACATTTACCTGCATTTGTCTGATATAAAGAGGTCCCATGTGTCCGGAGGGATAGATGAGAAACTAAGTTATTCCACTTTATCAGAGGACAGGCTATCAATAAGATAGGTTGTTATTCATTTGTATACACTGATGTCCTCTGCAATCTTCCTGCTTTCTGTCTCCATCTTTCATCTGCCTAAAACTTTTTGTCCTCCCTGTTCTACCTTTGGCCTCTTGGGAGCTTTTTCCAGGATGTATTGAACATGTATGAGACGGTCAATCTCAATTCTGCTGTTTGTCACTCTTTATGTCCTCGTTAAAGAGCACAACATTTAATCTGGGAAAAGAAAAACAACATACAAGTGTGGCCAAGAGAAATATTGATTAATCAATTCAGCTCTTTCTTTCTTCCTCCAGCCCTCCATTTCTTCCCCATTCTGTCTTTAATAATTCATTAGGAAGCTAAAAACCAAACAAAAAAGAACAGCTTGTACGGATGAAATATTTTCTTATGTCGACTCACGGCCCTGTTGTTGTACGCAGATCATATTTAATTACACATATGATCTATGTGGCATTCACAAACATCAATACATCAGATTATAAATCATTTCACAGGTCCACAGACTTGATTAAATACATTTTCTATTTTGATACTCCTCAATCTTTCATAGCATTTTAAAGATGAGGTTTCAGAGATACAGATGTTTTTAGACAGGGCAAAGCAAGCAGCTATTAGATTAGTCTCTAATGAAAATAAATCACAGACCCGTTGTGTTTACCCATTTCTTTCTCTTTTTTCTGTTGAACACAAATGCTCCATTTTGGCCAAGCTCTTATCTCCGTCTATCCCCTGAGTTCCAGCAATCTATCTGTCCATCTCTGTGCACATTATCTGCTTCTTTTTCAAGCTGCATTCAAGCAATTAATGGTTGTTTATCAGTGAAACTTGAGCTCTCCTCACAGTGACTATGCAAGCGCACAGGAGTCAGCCACGGTTTCCCAAAGAATAGTGGACATTTTGTCACTCAAGGTTTTCCTCCTGCCATAATTCAATCTTTAAAAAAAAAAAAAAAAACTTTCATTTTGCCTTTGATGGCTTCCAGCAAGGGCTAATTGCTTTTCTTCATGAAAGCATTACACAAATGATCACAAAATTATTACTTATGGTTGCAAGCCATAATCATATAATTGAAAGAACAATGTGTGTAACTGTTCCATTTAGCCTTTGAGGACTTGCTTTTTGTCCCCATAACATCAACAGGACAGGAACACATGGGAATCTAACTCGGAGCTGGTTCAGCTTTCCTCTCCTTGATTAGTATCAGACCACTTACCTGTGAGACTCACTGTCCCAGAGCCAATTATCCTCCCTTATCTGTGTACTGTTTGCTCTTGGATGTTGTTTTGTGTGTGTGTGTGTGTGTGTGTGTGTTCCTGTTGTATGCTTGCAGCGTGTTTGTCACACTTTTTTTTTTCCTCTCCCCCCTTTTACGCTGGGGAGGTGTATGATAGGCAGGTGTGAGTGTGAGAAAGTTCTACATGAGAAAACCAACCGGGATCGGTTTCAGGGCCAGGCCATGGGGGCAGGTAGGGCCGCAGAGGGGGCCGAGCTGGGACACACTGTGGCGGCCGCGGTGCGCCGTCACCTGAAAGGCCGGCTTTATCTGGACATCTATGGGAGGGGGGAGGGGTGGGGGAGGCTGATCCCCTGCCCCAGGTGAGGGGATGAACAGGTGAGCGTAGTCATTATGAGGAAAGGTGAGCTCTCCCTGTCCCCTGCCCTCCCTCATGCGTGCCTTCTCCTGCTAATCTGTTCAGGAAAATGTGTGTTTCTGCATTTGCTTATGAATATAAGCGCGGTTGTAATTGACTGGCTTTCTTACCCAGACTGGCTTCAGGGGTTTATCCCTTTTAGGCTGCCGTAAGTCTGTGTTGTGATTTCTCTGTTTAAACCTCTAAATCTCCTCCCTTTGTCTGGTTCTGGATGGTAAAATACATAATACAGCCAGAATCCAGTTTTGGGTGATCTAATGCGTAGTGGACGAACCCGGCCTCTGGTTGATCCCAGAAGTAGAGACACTTAGTAGTCTTTGATGTTTTAACTTCTCCCCACAGAACATGGGATGTTCAAAGGCTTGGTAACTGCGAGGTCACACAAGTGAGCCCCGTCTCTGTTGGTGCTGGACTTATTCAACCATGATGTGAAACACAGCAGCCTGCAAAGTCCACTCCAAATGAGTGTTTACCTGACCGAGGCCCAGGTGAAGCACCACGGCAGTTAAACTCAGGGAGGGGAATTATTCCACCTCTATAGATTCAGTGAAAAAACCACCGCTCACAAGAAGACGGAGAGTAAACCTGATCTTTCCTCACCTTTTGTTAGTCAGAAGTAGTCCATCAAGTTTTGGTTGAAGCTCCCTCTTTGTTCAAGTGACCTGTGACAAATGACAATATAGGTGCCATAGAAATACTGTTAAGATGGAGTGAATGGAAAGATTCTGTCCAGTTTGTAATCCTTATGTAAAGTGCTAAAACTCATTCACGGTCAGGTTTGCTGCCCGAGGCCGTAAGCGGATGGTCTCAGGAAGTATTCCCATACTGCATGTGGTATGCAATAATGCTTTTGTGTGACTTCACACACATATCATGTGTGTTTATATAAATACACGAGTAAAATATCAATTTGATCATATACAGACATAAAGTTTAAAATTAGTATTTTTCACATCCTCGTTTTTTAAATTAACTTTACAGATATACTACAAATGATACTATTGTTTGTAAAAACACTCCTAATGCTTTATTTTCCCATCCTTTAACTGTCAAATAATTTCACAATTGATGCATTGTGCAGTGGGATCTCAGAATCGGAAAATCCCACTATTTTTGTTGTAATAGAAAAGGGATTTAATATCATTTGTACACGCTACCTTTTGAGGCTCTTAGCCTGTTTACTGACAAGGAATTCTGGTTTCTGTTGGTTTTTCTTTGTCATTTCCTGTTACTCTTTCCATCCCCATTTAAAGCTTTTAAATAGTCCATTCTCCCTTCCCATAAAGGAGAAATGAATTAAAGTTTCATTAAATAGGATGAAAAGAGGATACGCCCTTTTTAAGCACAACACACCCATTTCTCAATCCCCCCAAACCAATAAACAAAGATGCAAAAATAAAAAGATATTCACGCTTGTTTCCTACACAATTTAACATAATGCTTCTGTATTTAAATGCTAACAAAATAAATATTGGCTTGCAGGCAGAGGTAGGAAAAACACAATAAAGTTTCTAACTCTTTTCTTCTTTTCAAACTTGATTTTCACTCCTTGCTTTTACCATTATATGATATTTGATGCTATGACATGTTGTATTCATTCTGCAAAAAGCCCCAGTTCTGTAATTCCCCACACACAGGGGAGATATTCTCTGCCTCAGGTTATTAATGGATGTTTACAAAGGTTTCTGCATTGCAAGCGCTGGTCCTTTTAAGTTCCCTTGAAATGAATTTTGACAAGACAGACATTCAGTGTCAGTAATACAGTGAAAGAAACCCACAGATATTTTAGTCTTAGAAGATGTAATCATACACAGTGCCTGTGCTTTCATAAATATGAGGTCCTTAAATAAGTGAAAGGTGCATTTTTAATACCTGAAGTCACAGGAGTATAGCCTTTGTTAGGTATATCTATAATGAATAATGAACTGATGATTGAAATTCTCTCTGAAGTGATGGAGAAAAAAAAGTGCACGGGCAGTGAAGTGGGGATGATCCACTTGGACAGGTTTCCAGCCCACCGCGTGACACAACCAGACAAGTCATCTATTTCCAATTAGAATCTGTAATTAACATAACGTGCATGTCTTTGGATTGTTCTGCACACCAACACTGGGTGTGATGTGCTGTCTGCCCACAGTTCTCCCACCCTCCCACCCTGTTTCTTTTATCTGTTTAGAACAGGAATTCTTCAGATGCTTATGGTGATAATGTATCATTAACTTTAATAATAAGAAATTCACAGTAAGCTCTGTGTCAGATGAATATCCAGAGGTATCACGCTGTTGATATTCTTAGCTCCCACACCTGAATGTGCGAGAGAGAGAACCATATAGGATGAAAAGATAATACATCAAGGCGTGCTTCTCAGAGACACATGCAAAGTACTTCTATCATGCAAATGTGGCTGCAAGCTGCCAACTCATGGCATTGCGTCACTGGCTACAGTGTCTTTCCTTACTAATGATGATGTAAACTAACTCAAACTGAGGCGTGGTTACTTGAAATATTGCAAAACTTGACATGATTTACTTGTTATTGTTTTTAAGAGGACATCGTCGCTGTCTCAGAAGGAGGCGGCGAGGCGCCAGCGGGGGCACTTCTGGTCTCAGCGTTCTCAGACCTGCTCCTGTATCAGAGCCGGCAGACTTTTATGACTTGTTCAGTAGTAATTTTGTCAGCTGCATGTTCTCTTCCGATGACTTCAAAGTTCATAGAGCAGCTTCTTCTTCCTGATTCATGATGTGGCCAGCAAAAACCTCTCTACCTTTATATCAGAAAAAGTACACACACACACACACACACACACACACACTACCCCCCGCTCAGTTTTTGGACACATATCTGACTCAAAAGGCATCAGTTTGTCATGTAAATTTACATTTTTTATCTATTCAGCTAATTTCCATCATGGATCCGCATTTTTTTGTCAACGTATTGATGATAGACCAATCTTATGCTACCTGACTGCGGATATGCATTACTCTGGACAATATTCTGTACAAAACCCTGTCAAAAATATCTCCTAGGTACAGCATGTCTTCACTGGTTTCGGACCTGTGCATTTTCGTTAACAAGAAATCTGAACCCCAACCGCAGTTCTTTCCTCTACAAAATCATAGAAAGGTGGAGATAGCGTTTTTCTTTAATAGTAATTTAATCTGTCAAGCTGTTATTGTTTTTCTATGCTCTACCTGCTGTTGGCCTAATGCTCCTCTGGGTCACATAAAGAAACATCACGAATCTAATGCCCTCCCCGTAAGCGTCAAACAGTGGATGCAGAAAGAATCTGGACTTTGCATTATTGGAGATGATGCTGGTTGCTTGGTGACAATAACAACAACAACAAAAATCATAAACTTAAGCTAATGTTTTTTTAAACAACTGTTTTATGCTTGTGAAAGAATCAAGATGGCGTGTGCTAATTAATGAGCTTTATAGGTTTCCTGAGGGGCATTTAGTTGCTTTTGGATGTTGGCCAGGTTAACGGCTTTTACCTGATCAAATCAGCAGCTGGACGTCAGATAGGTGCAGAGGTGGAAAACGCATTAAATAACCCACTGACCTCTGTGAAATAGATGTAAGAAGTTGCACACTTGAAAACTAAAATGACCGTTAAGCTTGTATAATAAGCATGCAGTAATGAAATGAAGATACTTAGTTCCTTTACACCATAGAAACGGGACAGAGGGCTGTCTCAATATCATTACATGGGACACACACAGTGTTTGTCACATGTGCATTCCTGCTGTGTGGGAGCCGAGCAGAGAGAAGGCAGTGAAGAGAAACGAAAGGAGAGGAGCATAGTTGGAGCTTTCTTTCTTTCCCGAGTCTCTCTTTCACTCTTTCTCCGCCTTTCGTTTGTGTTCCCCTCTCCTTTGTGCCTTAATTGAGTCTCCTACACAGCCTTGCATACCTGCATGTATGCTGATACTGGTGTGCACATCTGAATGTACACACCTGCCCACCACGCATTCTCACACACGCATGCATGTCTCCTTTCAGAGCTTTTAGGTTTCCTGCTGCTGGCACACCCATTAAAACACACAGATCGGGAATTTATCAGGATACACACACAAACACAAAGGTTAATTCCATCAGGATTTGGAGCTTGTGTTTCTGAGAGATAAGTTAATATCTCTGGGGTAAATGTCTCAAGGGAAGCATGCTTTAATGATTTCATTTGTGTGCAAATTGGATTGAGTGTAGGAGTCTCTATATTAGAGGAGAAAAAGAGGCAGAGCAACTTGGATTTACATGAGTACTTTGAATTGTCTACCCAGTCTCTGAATGGATCATTGTGTGTGAGGATCACAGGTAAGCACACCACTGGGCACAACGTGGTAATTGCAACCAGAGTTTTCCCTGATTGCCGTCCCTCTGACGTGTTCCAGCCATCATCTTTAACCCTGAATCCCTCTTTGTAACCCTGTTGTTTTCCATGTCACCACCACCCACTGCTCTTCAGCCAAACGAGGCTTTCCATGAAATACGCAGAAAGGAACAAGTTGACATAAACTCTCCCATTTTCTCTGCGGTTTCCTTTGTTGCCAGAGCTCCACAGGAGCAACCACAAACATTTCGAGCATCAAAGACAAGGTTTGACCCGTAGTCACTGCTGTGATTTCATCCCCGGCTGTTTGGTTCTACAATGACTCCGATTTTTGTTGTTTGCATAATGTATCTGCGGCAAAGTTTGCACGCTCTTCAACTGTCTCATGCATGATCATTTGCATGGAAACTGAAAAAAACAGCAATGAAGCTTTATCCATTCCAACAGCAAATCCTTGGTGATATCTTTCTTAAGAATTCAACAGTGAAAGGTTTTCTCCACAAAGTTAAATGACGATAAAACAACGCACACACCACAAACAAATGGAAGCCGTTTCCGAAATTCTAAATGAAAAAACAGATTGAAATAATCATACAACTCAAAATTATAAAGGATCAGTCAAAACTGTCAATTTATTACTAGCAGTACTAACTACAACTTATACACCATTATTCAACAATGTGGAGAGCAGCACCATTTGTAACCATGGAAACAGGTCATGTTAGCCTGGGGCTCATGTTGCTAACATTTGCTCATTAAGGCAAGCCATTAATTACAGTTTTATTAAATGGTTTGCCTAAACAAAAAGGAAAAAAATGAAGTCTTTCATCATCACTATCAGCAGATAGTGATAGATGGCATAACCTACTTTTGCATGAACACATTTGGTCTAGGTTCACAAATTTAGAACATTAGAGTGTTTTCATCACCCTCTTTTAGCAGCTGTTTGCTGCTCTGGCTTTGAAGACTCAGCATGACTTTAAGCATCCTTTTTGGATGTACACGGGTGTTTTTCCCATTAACATCTAAAACAAAACCATGTAATGAAAAGAATTTAGGAAAACATCGCCTGTGGGCGATGTTGGTACAGCTTTCTT